GATGTTTGTAAAGTCTATAAACACAATGACTGAACAAACATTACTATTTCTGTATGTACGTTCTGTAATTAATAACATGGTTATCGTAGATTAGCTGGGCTAACCGTTAGCTGTTGGCCATTAGCGGCGTCTGTAATAACTCAGTAACACAATAAACGGTCTGTGAAAAAAATATTTTTTCCAGCGGATATCTTAGTTACGACATGATTGAGCTAGCAAAGCAGGTTTGTGTTGCTATGTGTGGTATTTATTCAGTTTTGGGAAATCACGATGTCTAGAAAGCATCAGTGGCTGCAGCTGACAGGGACAGCTAACAGCAGCAGCAAAGCTAACATCAGGACGTCATCTGTTAAAAGCCTCCCGTTGTCGGATACGACATAAAACTACTCCAGTTATCTCAATCATGTTGTAACTCAGACATCCGCTGGAAAAAAATATTTTTTTCATGGACCGTTTATTTTTAGTTTTGGAAAACGTCAGCAGCTCTGCAGTGAAGAGTGAAACTGCACTGTTTTCAGCACCAGAGAGGAGATATCTGTTGCCAGATCTCGCGAGAGTGTGTTGTTGAGAGAGAAACAGGTCTTGAACAAAGTAAATTTTCTCCTGATTTGTCCGTCTGAAATTTTCCATTTTGTTGTCTGAATGTTCTGAATATATGTGGCTTGTGATAAATGGGTCCAATATTTGCTTCCGTGACTTTGGGGCGAAAGAATCGGCCATAATCTGTAATCACGTTCATTTCTGCCACTGAAGTCAATGGACTCAGGACCTGCTGTTAGTCTCCCAAAGGGCGTGGTGGTCGCAAACCCCACATGACACTGATACAGGAAACTGACTCGCAGTGGACCGTCTTGGTTTATCCACCGTCTTTGGTATTATCCACTATCCAGCCAGCTAGCGTCACTGCTCAGCTGGTAATACTGTCCCAACCAGGATTGTAAATACACCTACCAGCCACCCAATAGATTACCATTGATTCTGTGGCTGGTGAGTGAAGCAAATCTGCCTCTGCACATAAGTAATGTATATTTCTCAAACAATCTTTGGTGTTACCTTTAGTTATAGTAAGTCAGCACTGTTCTAAAGTATTGAATATCTGTGTGAATTCTGATGTACACCAGCGGAAATAACAAACGGACCCTATATTACACGTTTGCCTGTTTACTGTAAAGATGAACCATGTTGGATTAATATGTTCCCATCAGCCTTTCATGTCTGCTACCATTTGTTTTCACCAGAAACTCACCAGCTTTATCTGTTTGTTGCTGAGGAATATTGCTTTAATCCTGTTTTGTGTCATAAAGCAATTATCCCCTGAACCTGCCCCTGTGGCTCACAGTGTAAAATACAGTGTTGAGGCTGTGACAGACTTGTTCATCATGTTTGTTTATAGCAATTATACTAATGTCTGAAAATTTATGTGGGACTAAATTTCTCATAAGTGCTTCACACAGCAGCTTTAACGGCAGAAATTGGTGTTACTAATGATTATTCTGAACCTTGACTCCAATCATGAGCTCTACTTCTAAAATGCATACAGTAGCTACTGCTGTTTGACTTTGTAGACCAGCAATGAGCCGAGGTGCTCTCAGACAACTGTGGTGGCAAACTGGGCAATGTAGATGGGCAACTCTCCCAGCAAAACCCAAAACAAGCAAACAAGGGGCAATAATCTCCTAAATGTTGCAAGAAAATGTTCTTCTGTTGGCAACACAGTTTTCTCCGGGGCATCTCCACAAGTGTGTTGCAGCAAAAGTTGCCTTTGCTAATAAATCCTTTAAAGATGCCATGTCTCGTCCGAGAGGAAAGCAACTCCTATCCTTCATTCTCTTTCCTCTAACTGGATCAAAATAAAGTTTGGCAGTTGTGATGACATCATCATCTTTACCTTGTAATGATGGCACAAATTTAATTTTTCCTTGTTTATATCACTGTTCAGATCTTATGATGTGCAAAGGTATCCAATATAGAAGTCCACCTTAATGCGACAAGTGAAAAAAGAGCTAAACTTGACTTTACCAGGAAATTAATTGAGTGAATTGCATTGGAGCAGCAGTATTTGACTCTTAGCAGCAATGTGGACTTCTATTATGGCTACATCTGTGTAGACCAAAGTCTGAAACAATTCCTTTATCAACCGTTGGTCCAGTCCTCTAGAAAGTGTCAACAGCCTTTCTTAAAACAAATAAAACCTGCAAACTGAGTGAGGCAGTTACACTTTAAATTTCCTAAAATCACTTACAATATTATGTAATAAGGCAGATCCCTCCCGCACTAGAAACCTCTATAAACCTGTGGCCTGGCATTACAAACAGCTGAAATTACCTCACCCAAATTGCAGGTTTTTATTCATTTGTTTTAAGTAAAAACAATATTTAAAGAGTCAGAATCGGTAATGGCTGGTTAAAGTGCCAAGTAAGTGGTTGTTTATGTTGGAGCAACACTGCGAGGACTCCGAGCCAGCTTTCAGGAGAGTGTCTCTGGTGGTTTCTCTGCACTGAGCCAGTGCTTCCATGGAGAAATATACGATACGACAGCAGTTCAACCCGGTGTGAATGGGAGGGGGTGACTGTGTGAGCATGCAAGTGTGTGTTTCTGTGTGTGTGTGTGTGTGTGTGTGTGTGTGTGTGTGTGTGTTCCTGAAGGAGTCTCTGTGTTTAAGTAGAATTATTGCAAGCCGGTGGAGTGTGTGTGTTTGGGCCAGTTCCTGTAGATACAACTTTGCACTTCATCACCAGTTTGAGTATATCTCCTGCCTGAGTGTGACAGAGTGAATACATGTGTGTGTATGTCCAGAGATTCATCTGTCTGTCTTTTCGTTTGTGTGTGTGTGTGTGTGTGTGTGTGTTACAGGTCTAGCGGGTGGTCTAAAGTGTTGTTATTGTCCTCTGCGTCCTCGTCGTTTGCCAGCGGGTTGCGACTGATGACCAATTCCAGTCTGTCCCCAGCCTCTGTGATCAGAGGTACCGCCAGGCAGCAGTCAAAGTCCCTCGTCCTCACGTGGTTCACCTGGACAAAGACGGAGAGAGGCTGCTCAGGAAAATGGTACTGCTGGTGGTTAACTGTCAAAGATCGAGACAAACTATTCCTTAACGGTTCTGTATGCGACATTTGGAGCATCAATACAGCAGCAAACCACTATTTGCTTTTAGGGGTGTGCCATAACATCTTGTTCATGATAATACTGGTATCATTTTTAATATCATAGGAAAAATTCATATTGTGATGCTCACAATATTTTGACTTGTTGACATGTTGATGTCATACTGTTACCCACGGCAACAACAAGCGTGGCTGAAAGCAAAATTATTATAGACTTTGCGGTGGTTCCAAAAAGAGGAGCAGCTTCAGTAGTGTGGAATAAACTGTGGCGTCCTGAATGTTTTATGAACTGCCCCGGACTTCTCAGACTCTTTTAGTGACTTACTGCTCAGAGGGAACTCAGTCAGCGGCTCCTCTGGCAGCAGCACAGTGTCTCTCCCTCTCCTCTCTCTCTCTCTGTGCGCACACTGGAGTCCGTGTCGTCAAGTGATTTTGTCATAAACCTTTGGTAATGTAAACCTACGTGACACTCACGGCTCGACAAAACTGAATACATACACGTATTCAGTACACGATTCAGTACAGCACTATATAAAGTGGGTGGTATAGATTTATGATGGTATAGGTACAGCCAGTAGATGGCACTAGAGAGCAGAGTCAAAAGTTTCACTCAACAACAAACGAGGCGACAGTGGAGGAGGTTGTAATATTGTACCTCAAAATGGAGGCAGTGTTGGCTATTATATGCACGGACAATTATTTTAGCTACTTTCGCTATGTATGTTATATATCACCAGTATGTTTAATTCTGCTAATATTTACATTTCTTTGTCGTCTCCTATGGTCATATCTCGCTTGAACTGCGCTTTCTTGCCTCCACAATCTCTGATGGTGCTGTTCCATTTCATGTGTATCCGTAAGCTTTCAGGAAATGTGCACAAGTACGAACGAAATTTACTCAGCCCATGGACAGAAGGCTCCATCTGTCTTCATCTCTTTATCTAACGTTGAGCATAAATGAGCTCTTAGCCGTGAATATCCTTTTATCCTAAAATATGACAATGGACATTCCAAGCTTCATTGGAAAACCTCAATAGATGCTTTGGATGTAAAAAACGACATTCGGTACAGCCCTATTTTTAAGCCATAAACCTTGTCCCGCTGCCTTGTCATAACCTTGGGCCTTTATGTGTACAAGGGTTTGAAGTTTGACACTGTTGCACAGGTACGGATTTTAACACCCTCAAACATTCAACAGATTTCCTTTTCATTACCTGTAGGATCCTGTCGTAGGGTTTGAGCCCGGCTCTGTCAGCTGGCCCGTCAGGTCTGATCATGTTGACGTAAACTCCTTTCTCCAAGAAGCCATCTGACACTCTGAAGCCAAAGTCATCGATCTCTGGGTCCTTTATCACCGTCACCTACAGAAGACAGCACAAGGATGTGAGGTTGCTGTGGTGACATTGAATCTTTTTTCTCAGTTTAGTGTAAACCAAGTTGAAATGTGAATGTGAAGGCAGCAGCTGTCAGCAGAGGTTGTCCTGAAGGGCCCTGACACAACAAACTAAACACAAAAAGTTTGCACTATCTGATAGAGTTTCACATCACAATGTAATGTTTTCTGATAAAAGCTGCACTTGAGGCAACGTGCATGACCAGTCAATCAGCAGCGTAAAAGGAAATGACTGGTCAGTCGTCTGTGCTCCTATTCCGCACAAAATAAATGAGCCAACCATTCTTGAGTCAGTTTGCCTCTGATTGAACAGTCCGTAGGTCCCCAAGTGGTCTCTGGGAAAATTCCAGGGGTCAAAAGAAAATGGGAAAGAGTTTATTTTCACATATTTAATTCCCTAGAGAAGAGAGCCTGGTCTTAATCATATTTAACATTTAAAATCTTTTCAGCTGGAGATCCCTGAAGTAAGATCTTAACAAATGGGGGTCCGTGACCTAACGTGTATTGATTTAGGGGTCCATGACACGATAAAGGTTGAGAACCACTGCACTAGTGGTGGGGGAAGTAATCGATTCTTAGATGCATCACAATAAACACAAGAACGACAAGAATCGGCATTGATTCACAAATGTCAATAACCAGTTATTTATTTATTAATAGCAGGAGGTTGATGGAAATATAGAGGCAGAACTCAGCCACAGGCCACAGGCAGGAGACATTAAGGTGCTTTCAAATTAATTAATTAATGTAGTTAACTTTTAAAATATAAAGGCTGTGGACCATCTACTGTTCAATTTTACATAGCAATTCCATACTATCTTTGGTGAAATATTACAGTATGCAATCACTGGACACTATGATGGACTATATTGCTGTCATTGTTCATTTTAGTCAAACCATACAGTTTGAAAACGAGGCGCGGCTCCAACTAGAAAACAATGTTTTGATGCATTGGATGTGCTGAATGTGCATATTAAGGCAGTACAGGAGGAGGTGCACATTAATAATCCTCCAGGACTGTAACATGCTCATGTTTATCACAAACAATGTGTCATTTGACTGCGGTTGGGTCTGAATGAGGTTGGAAGACGTTCTCACCACAAACGAACCAAAACGATTTTTGTGACACAGCAAGTCTTTGAGTTCTTAAAAATAGGACAAAACTGTGCAGACAAAAAAATCCTCCAGCCCATTAAAAATGAATTGAGGGGTTTCTGTATTGTTTTCTTGAAGGAGGACAACAGGGACTGGTGTAATGGCACAATGAGATTCTACTGTACAGTATTCACCCTGCTGCATGTTTCACTGAAGCATAATTAAAAGCAGGATAAATGCTCGAGAGGCGACCGCTGCTTAATACAGTACAACTGCAGGATAAATGCGAGGAGGGTTTATAATTGGTAATGCAGACCAGATGTTTTGCTGAGAACTGTGGGTTAACAAAAATGATGACATAACATGATGTATGAATACTTTATGGTTTTTTAATGAGACACCATTTAGAGGCTGTAACATCTTGGCTGATGGCCAGCGAGTCCATCAGTAAAACAGATTTTAATGTATCTTCTCCCTGTGGAAAACAAATGTATTTCTCATTCCCTGAGCTGCTCACATTTGAACAAACCCTTGTATAAAGTCGTAATTGTAAATCCATAGGAGGACGAGGACGCGTAGCAGCACAACTGCTGCCGGGGGGGGGGGGGGGGGGGGGGGGGGGGGGGGGGGGGGGGGGGTTTGCTATACTGTATGTTCTGTATTACATAATATCCTGCACTGTAAAAATGTACTGACTTTCTCAAACTCTTAAAAATGTCATTGTTACGTGAGCTGTATTAAAGTTAATCAATCTAAAATTTGTGCAAATGGGCCTGTTCCCACAGTAGGAAAAGGAAACAAAACAACTAATGATGGCTGAAATTTATTGAGGTGCTTTGGTGTCAGGTTCTGTGGCACTGTGGCACCCTGTCACGGCTTACTGGGACACTTGAGTAGAAACTTAGGGCACATTCACACCAGGATAGTCCGGGGGATTCAGTTCGATCGGGCAGGGAATGGCAAAAAATTTCACACCTTCATTTGGTTCGGTTCACTTTCACACTGCACTTTTTAAAGTGGACCAAACCGCCTGGTCACGCAGAACAGCTGCTCGTTTGGGGGCGGTATTGCCCGAAACAACAACAGACCAGGAAGAAAAAAAGCATGAGGAAGAAGAAAACCTGGCTCATCGATTGGCCAGGAACAAAAATGGAAATCCATCCTCTTTAAAAACCTCATTGTTCTTGTGGGTAGCCACAAGCGCCTGCACCTCCTCACTACTCGTCTGCCCACGAGACATTTTCTTTTTTTACCTCTAATTCTTTCAGTTCGCACTGCTTGTTTTGTTTCTTTTCTACCCAAAATGCACTGCACTCTCTGTCACTTCCTCTCTTTGGTTCACTGGATAGTCTGCATTTCCCACTGTAAGCGAACCACACCAGTGTTCATTTGCAAGACCCCCAGTTTTCAAGTGGACCAGGGTTCGCTCGTTTGGTCCGTGCCAGAGTTCGAATGAGCGTTCACACCACTCCAAATGAACCGAACTATCCATGGAAGCGGACCAGGGTTCGTTTAAAGCGGACCAAACAGCGCCAGTGTGAGTGCGTCCTTAATGTTATTTCCTACTATGACAAGTCAAAATGTCTGTTGTGAAAAAGGCTTATTAAGATGAAAACTCCCAACACAAAATGACTTAGTTCATTCAGTGGCATTTTTTTGTGTCAACAGATACAAGATACAGATAAATGTGGAAAAATGTGAGAGCTGGAGGTGAGTGATCTGTCTCAGAGCAGATGGTTTGAAGTTAAAGTAACACTGAAATGATGATATCGAGCTTCATACCTAACTCTCAACAAGATGGCATTAAGCATATTCCCCAAAAGGCAGAACTATTCCTTTAAACAGAGCATGAGACGCTGCACTGACACCTGGATGAACTAGATATTCTCGCTAACAGCACGTCGCACCTTTTTTTTTTTCCTGTTGATTTCCGTTTTCCTCTTCCCCAGTAATCCAATGTGCGCCCAACCCTTTACTGAACTTATTTTCCCACTAAACTTTGAGTCAAAATGGCTTTGCTTTACATTTGTTCTTGTCCCGCAGTATTTACACAACACTCAAGCCCTCACTTTACTTAATCCTACCAACATATAATCCAGGTCCTGACGGAGTCTTCAGACGGAGGTTTGAACTCACTTTGTGCAGCTCCAAAGGCGTCGGGGACAGAATCCCCTGCATCTCCTCTTTGATCCGACGAGATTCCCACGTCCTCTCTGACACTCTCAATGTGGCCTTGGCCTTGGGCTCGTGGTGCAGGAGAGGGGACTGGTTGTCTTGGTGGATGTGGGCCCCCTGGTGCAGGTGGGCCTCATGGTTGAAATGGGCCTCCTGGAGCAGGTGGGGGTCTGGGTGGAATGTAACAGTTAGTTTTTAAATACAATTAAAAGGCATTTAGTGAATATTACTGTACACAGCAACACGTTTGAACATAAGAGACATTGTACTAGACTCTTTTCTCTTTTTGTCAGTCCTATATCATGAGCTGAGGGACACAACTTCCTTTGGCTCTGTCGCATCTATTGATAAATTACCTTGGTGGAGTTGAGCCTCTTCATGCAGGTGGGCCTCCTCATGCAGATGGGCACCCTGGTGGAGGTGTGTACCCTGATGCAGCAGGTTTCCCTGGTGCAGGAGAGAGTTTCTCCTCAGCGGGCTCATCCTGCTGTGGCTCAGTATGGGCTCAGCTGGAGGCTTGTTGACACCGTCTACACCCAGACTGATGGCTGTTCCTGTCATGATGGATGCCTGCACAGACCAAAACAACCACACACACACACACACACACACTCTTCAACTCTTGCAAAGACCTTTAACGTGAATGAGACTGATGGTAAAACAGCCAGTAAAGCCTACGTCATGGTCTTGCGATATTTTGCCAGTGGCTTAGTGTGTTTATGGTTTTCTGTTAATGTTTTTGGTACTGTGATGTCACTACTGTGCACATAAAGCTGGATTTATAATAGCGCTTTAAGGGCTTAAGCTGTTGCTACTGAGCCTACGCACATAGCTGCTACGTAGTGTTCTGGGAAAATGCAAAACAGATATATATATATATATAGTATAGGTATGTGTAAAGCCTACTATCACTCTATATCACAAAGTAAATGAAAAACTATACACAGTCATCATGGGGAATATCATCAAAGCTACAGCCTAATCATGTACAATAGATCTATTTAATGTTGTGGGTGTTACCAGCTGGTAAAGTCCAGTGTTTAGTTATTTAACAAAGCCTATAGCAGGACTGCCAACTCCTTGCATCAAGTATAAGCCCAGTTTAAAGGGTAACTTCAGGATTTTTCAACCTATGTCCTCATGTTCTTGTGTTGATGTGACTAATAGAGGCAACCATTTTTGAAACTGGTCCACTATTGAACGAGAGCGCTGCAGCCGGCAGCTGTGAAACAGACTGCAATGTAAACACTCAGGGCATTTGTGCACCCTCACACACACACACAAACACACACACACACACACTACCCACGCTGTTTTGATACGCTGGTTGAAAATCAGAGAAGTTAGGAGTGGATGCTCACACGCAAACTGACCTCGATCTCTCTGAGTAGTTCTGACTGGCCGCAGGTCTCCAGATCCTCAAGCGCCTGACACCAGAAACTGTCATCTGGATCCAACAGAATACCGTCTGGTTGTTGGCCAACAAATCTGTCAAACACACAAACACGTGACATTAAATGGAGCTGCTTTGGTAACAAGACAAACCTACATGTTCCAACACTATTTGGATTGAATCTTGGTCATGACTTAATATATTATGTAGACTGGGCTTTTCCTCTATAACATGAGCCTTGTATGTACCCTACAACAGCAACCAAGAGTCATTGTCATGTGAACAAATGTGTCTGCACATCAGGGCGGGATTCGATGGGGCATCAGCATCATCAACAAAGCCGCTGTGAAGACAGAGCGGTGTCAATGCAGGGCAAGGCCATTCGTTCTGGTTAAATCCAACATGAGTAATCTTTTAACACCGAGTGTCCTTGACTGACAAGATTAATTCACTTTCACTGTGCAGCTGATTTATTTCTCGCTTCATCCTTCCTCTCCATCTCTCCGCCCCCATTAGCGTTATATAACCCCAGTGAATGTTGCTATCCTCACAGGGCTTAACCTCCTGACTCATCACTATACACACACAGACACAAACACACAGATACTACTCAGTCAGTCTCACTGGCTTCATGACTCAACCTCCACACTGAAATCTCCACTTCAACACAAACGCCTGGTGCTGATACAGGCACGTGGACCAGAGAATCAAATACATCACTCTGTTTCAGAGCTAAAACATCAGCTTGGATTATTAAAATGAGACAGAGTTAGGAACATATGCAGACAGTCAATCAGTTAGAGTGATAAGAAAATTTTGTTCACCATAAAACTTCAATTAGTAGCCTGGGCTATTATTTGCCACTGAAACCAACAGGCCTGCATTTGGGACAGGCATTTAATTAATTTCACACAAAACTGTTGCTCAACAAAGATTGGGAAATACAATCAAATTGTTTTTATTAAACCAGTATGAATTTTACACCATTTTATCCTGTTAAAACAATACTCACAACTTGGATTAATTTTTATGAAAAACGCTTTTGATTCTTTTGATCTGAGGACTCTTACGACTCAAGCCTAGTTCACATTACACGATTTTCACCGCCACCACCCATTTTGACGTTGCAGAGGATCATGAGAGCCACCTTGGGTCGAAGGTGATTCGGCAGATAGTCTGCCACGACGACTCCTCATGTGTGAACAAGCCTACGAGCAAGTCGCCCCCTTGTCTGTGACTGGGACTGGATATCTGGCATGCTAGAAAACTGGAGAAGTTTGACACGACTGACAAAGAGCATCAGCCAATGAGAGGCGGGATATGTCCCACGTCAGCACTCAGGAGGACGGAAGAAATGTGAGGACAAGCTGCAGGGTTGCCAGTTGCCAGGTCCGGTTATTAGCCGCGACTTTGGGCTTGTTTCTAAAGTGGAGTTGCTTATTTGGGCTTGCTTTCTAAACGTCACCTTCCTCTATATATATCTGTCTAATAAGTTATTTAAACGCATGATAGTTGCTTCTTTTGGGCTTGTTTCCACAGCCCTGGTTGCTTGTTTCTCTCCCAAGATCTGGCAACACTGACAAGCCGGCCAGCAAGCAACAACAACAATGGCGGCGTCCACAGTATCACAGGGAGCGCGTTGTGTTTGGACCCAGGATAATAAAGAATATCCATGCCTTTACGATGTGTTGTCTCTAAGTTTGGTGACGTCACCGCGTTATCTGGGGCTCTGTCGGTGAGGGCTCGGTGGAGAAATCTTGTGGTGTGCACACACAGGTCGTAACGCAGTTGGCGATACTCCCGCTGACAGAAACACACGTTGCCAGGTATGAACACTCAAAAGATTGCGAGTCTCTGTGACGCAAAATCAGGGTGAAAATCGTGTAATGTGAACTAGGTTTAAAAGAACATGAATAACTTACAGTAGGTAGTAACTTAGGTTTGAGGTAGCCAGCACCCGGTTTAATACATCTGAAGAACTTCTATAAAAAAAATGAACTGCTTGGCAACCAGACCAGGTGTCTAATTGAGACAGGCCTTTATTTGTCGAAATGTGTAGCCACACTGGGCTGGTAAAAGGGACTGGGAGATCGATTGGGATTAGGCTTTTAATTTAAGTTGTATGTTTATAACTATATACAGTGAGTTATTCCAGCGTACTTAGAGAAAAATAAAATCTAATCTAATATTAGAATAGGGTCTAAAATCAACACCTAAAATAATGGAAACCTTTGTTTCACTGTAACTGAATGGATCCCAGATTTAACACTGTACAGCAGACATTCAGAAACAGTCAGCAAAAATATAAATGATCTTTGATCTGAGTTAAAAGATAAAATTAAGTTAAGTCCTACCCAGGTGGTTTGTCCCAGTCATCCTCACTGAAGCCTCCGTCACTGAACGGATAGTTCTTCCGGCGTCCCGGTGGAGGTGTGTTGCTGCGCTGCTGCTTGGCACTACGCCACTCATGAGGGTGGAGGGCGATACCAGCTGCCTGGTGGCTGTACGTACCTGCAGGAGGAGTGGAGGAACTAGATAAAGACCTCATTTCTTCACAATAAGAAAAGCTACTTGAGTTTGCAATTGCCATCAAACTACACAGTCTACATGTGTTGATATACAGCTTACCCTGGCTGCCATAGCCAGCGTCCAGCCCTGAGCCATCCCATGACTCCATGGCAGAGTCGACGCTGGGAATGGTTGTGGAGTAGAGCTCTGACAGTTTGTTGGTCTGTTGGCTGTCCGTCAAATCGTCCTCCTCAGGGTCACTGAGCTCATTCTCTGTTGTGTCCTCTGCCTCTGCTGCCTTCCTCTCCTCTACATCTTGGCGAGGAGAAGAAGAGGAATTAGGTTTGTCCGATAAAGAGATCATCAAAGGACAAAGAAATCCGGAGACAAGGCCTGTTTTCAGACAGGTTGATTGCAAGTCACCACAAGGAGGCAAAGGTTACTTGACTGTCCCATTGACTTAACAGACTACGAGCATCTAGGAGAAGTCTTAATGAAGGGAGTCTATAAGAAATGGCAGGATCAAGAGTGCGTACTAAAAGGCTGATTCCGAAAACAACTTCAGGTCTGAAGCTTGGTAAAAGCTACAAAGACAAAGAACCAAGAACACAGAAATGAACAAAATAAGACAATAACATTTTGTTTCATTACAACCATGTTGATCATTGTTTCCATTACCAGTTTCCATACTTACTGTCGAGCTGTTTTTTGATCTTGAGGGTGACCGTCTCTCCAGCCATCTGCAGCAGGTGGATAGCTTCACTCAGGGGCTTCCCTTTTAAACTGACGCTGTTGATAGCCAGGATCCGATCACCTACATGAATTGCCCCTGTCCTGGACACACATGAAAACAAATTCACGCACACATAGTAGGTGAGAGGACATACACAGTCACAGGAGGTAATTTTCAATTCAGCACAATGCACACACAGGAAAATATTACCAGGGCACATCAGGTAAAGATATTGAACATTTCTGCAAACCATGGATATGTTAGAATTATATGTTAGTATGTGGCGGATACCAGCAGTGTAATGTAACAAAGTAATTATACTACATTACAGTACTTAAGTATGTTTTGGGGGGGGTTTGCACTTTACTCAAGTTTTCATATTACTGTCAACTTTCACTTTCATCCACAACATTTCCTAAAACATGTACACTTTTACTCCAATAAATAAAGGAAGGGTGGAAGGGACAGACGAGTGAAGAAATTGGAAGGAAGGAAAACTGGATTTTGTTCTTTAAATCCTTTAAGATGTGAAAAAGACCTCATTTTTCATCAAGTGTAATAGGCTCCACTACTAAGATGGTGTGTTCAGAAGAAATGAACTTAAAGATTCTCAGAATACCTTTTACTTTTACTTTCAATACTTGAGTCCATTTAATATCATAAAATTACTTTTGATACTTAAGTACAGTAAATACCAGATACTTTAAGACTTTTACTCAAATAATATTCAAATAGGTGACTTTAACTTCTACGAAAGTCCTTTTCTGGTAAAATATGTGTAATTTCATCACTGGCGGACACACTGAAACTTTATTTTTCAACAACGCTGTAGTTAATGTGTGGTTAGGTTTAAACACAAAAACTACTTGGTTATGGTTAGGAAAAGATCATGTCTTGATTTGAAAAAAGGGCTTTACGTGGCACCACCTCAGTAGGAAATGTCTTGCAGCAATGTCTTGGTAAGAAACAACCGCTTTCCATGGCACTATCCCTGGAGGGAAACCAGCAATGGATTACTGAAAACCACCCAGGTTTGGTGGCTATAAGTCGCTTCTGTTGTTTGAAAGGGGTGGCACGATGGTGTAGTGGTTAGCACTGTCACCTCACAGCAAGAGGGTTTCTGGTTTGAACGATGGGGGAGCCCTTCTGCGTGGAGTCTGCACGTTCTCCCTGTGACAGTGTGGGTTTTCCCGGGTACTCCGGCTTCCACCAATAGTCAAAAAACATGCAGGTTAGGTTAGATGGTGACTCTAAATGGTGTGAATGTGAGCGTGAATGGTTGTCTGGCGACCGGTCCATGGTGTACCCCGCCTCTTATCCAATGTCAGCTGGGATAGGCTCCAGCCCCCCAAACAACATTTTCTTCTTTCGACTGGGCTGAATAATTAACATTAGTTGTCTAAAGGTGTGGACACACTAAACCGACATCAAAGAACGAAAAGAGACGAAAGCCAACTGTTGCGTCGTCTACGTCATCTAGGTCGCCCTGTGTCAGTTGCATTTGAACACACTACACGGACTACATCCAACGGCCAAGTGGCACGTAGGTTCTGCGCCTGCGTGAGAGAGAGTGGAGTGACAGAGTGGTACATCCTGTCAGCCGAGGTGTTTCCTATCTGTGCAGCTGAGCACCGCAGCACCTCCACGGACTGTTACATCCAGACGGTCCCGGTGTTTCCTCCGCAGGCTCCACTTCACTCAGCTTCACTCAGCTTAACCTGAATAACAAACCAGGGCTCTGTTCTCTGGTTGGATCCAAACGGTGAGCTGGGGCTAGCTGGGAAGCTAGCAGAGGTTAACTGGCTGTGCTTCCCTCCGGTTATGCTCCCAGCTAACTCCGGTTTGTTATTCAGGTTAAAGTGGGAGAGGTAGTGGATCTGTCGGGCAGCTGAGTGAAGTGGAGCCTGAGGAGGAAGCCCCGGTTTCACTACAGGCAGATTCACTCGCTACAGGGGCGAGGAAATAAAACCTGAACAGCCAATCAGAGTGATCTCTTTCACCGACTAGCTCCGCCGCCGATTCAACATGCTCAGTCGGTCAAAAAGCCGCCGCCGACGAAGGGCCGACAGTGCGGGACATACTGCAAAAACTAGGGCGACAGACGCTCACCGACAGCCCGACTTTGGTCGACGGCCGACCGTCGGCTTGGTGTGTCAGGGCCTTTAAACCAGTTTGTCAGCTGTAAAAATACACAATGACATCAATAGTACATAAATAATACATTTCAGTCCAGCTAGGTTCATGCTGCTGGATGATTTTGTATGAACTGACCCTTGGAGATTTCTCTAAAATGTTTTGAATAATGAAACAAGACCACAATCTATCACTTACCTTTTTATATCTCCACCAAAACACCTGCAAATGCAAATTAGCTGTACACAAATATAATTTGTAGGGCACAGCGTTAGCTATAAGCCACATGCCGAAACATTGGGCCTCTGCCCCGCAGTGACACTGTCATTGTTTACAGATCAGATTTGGGTTCAGGAATTTAATTTAAAAGGTATTACTGTTCAAACAAAATTTATGTAAACAACCACATGACAAGTTTCAGGTCACAACAAGGTGACTCTGGCTGAATCACACATTTAATCCCACTATCACCGGCTACTGTGTGAAACCTGGTGTAAAATATAAAGCAGTCCTTTATCTTGCAGCCTACTTTGATTGAGATGTAATTCGTTTTGAACCCTTATCTCACAAACACTCACCCAGGAGCCCACATATTACACGTATATACTTTAAACTTGTGCATGAATGACTGAAGCCAGAGGAGTGGTTGTTTTTAAGAGAGGAGGTTTTCTGGATTTTCTATCTTAAGCTTTTATTTACAAGGCGCTCAAAGACGAAGTGGGTCGAGGTGAACATTTCAGAAGCAGAGATGTTGATATCAGCTGTATTCCTGCACTTTCTTCTGTGTCAAGCTGAGCCAAGTTTATTTATAGAGTGCTTTTAGCCAACAGGTCTGAGGCAAAGTGCTTTATCGACAACAGTTTAGGACAGGAAATAGGGCAATTACATCACAAACTCCAAGAAATGGGGTCACAGTGTGTGTGTGTGTGTGTAGCTGTGGCAGGGCGAGCAGTAAGCTGCCTCCCTGGGTGTGTTTCGGTGCACTGAGCCAGTTATAAAAACTGACATTTTATTTTGAAATAACTGTTGTGCTGTGGGACGGGCCGTAAGCTGAATTCACCAGTGGATGATTCTGACTCAGGGAAACCATTATGTCATCTTCTGTTCAGTCTCGTTGCCGTGGACACCAGCTGCCATCCCATCTCTCCACGGCATCATGTTTCTCATTATCTCATCTGTCATCACTGCATGTCACACACTGCTGCACACTCAGCTGCTGATGGGGAATCCCTCTATTTATCGCTCGAGGCCTCTTCTAGTATTTCTCCTAATAAGGTTTTCACCTTGCCGCTACGGACGACTAAATAAGGCAGCGTGAGTTGGTTCCTTCATCTGCTCCAGTTGGGTTTAACCTTCTGCTTGTGCTGCCATGATCAAATCTATGTTTTTATTCTTGATATGGATCTTGACCACACAGGATAGTAATGACTCCAATCTGGACCAGCCTGCGATGAGGTTGACAGTTTTAGCTATCCTGTTTCTACAGCCCAGTCACCAGAAGACTATACTGGTATTGTACATTTCTGCAAACCACAAATATGTTACATCATATGTAACAAATCAATGCTTCATTGATCTGTATCGTCATCTTTATGATTTGCGTTTATTTTGAAAGTCTGTGTCAACGTCAAACACCAAAAGGCGGATGGCAAGCAGAAAAGAAAAAGACGATAAGGATAACGTTATTTACTCGAAAATAAATCAGCAGTGTGGAAATATTTTCTATTTCGGAGAAAATACTAGGGCTGACCCAAAAACTTCAAAGCTTCATTCGATGGCATGGGATTTGATTGTGAAAAAAAAAATTCGAAGCTTGGGTGCTTTTTTTCCGTTTTTTTGGGGGAGGCCTTAAACGCAACACTAGCCCCACCAGTCCCATACTGACAACGAGCGTACTCAGAGCTGGCAGACATGTCCAAGAGGTCATCAGATGTGTGGTTGCACTTTAAAATATGCCCTGACAACCCCCAGAAAGCAGAGTGCCAGATTTGCCAAAAGCAATTGGCATATCACAACTCAACAACAAATTTGGGAAATCACTTGAAAAACGTAAGAAGTAACTAGTAGGCCTAATATGCATTTTCCAGTTCCACCGGTCCGCTCTGTCAGAGACACGTCTGATGCTCTGAGTTGCCGTCGAATGCTTTGAATTAAATTCATTCTGAGCTCCAAAGCTTCGAATGTCCATAAATGGATTCGAAGGTCAGCCCTAGAAAATACAGGTCAACAGACAGAGTGCATGCCATACGTAAATAACGCCCTTATGTTACCTGCCTGGTCTGGAGTCTCATTCTGCTAACTTCTCACTACAGCAACATTAGCTGCTTTGTTTCAACAATGTTCGACCGAAAAAATGTGCACGTAGGCTGAAATTCAACCGAGCTGCTCTGTTGGGAGATGCCGTGACTTAAACAAATGGTAAGTGAGAAAAAGTATAAATAACACATGAAATTTGTTAAGTTATGAGTAGAGGAAAGTCTACAAAACAAATGACATGTCTGTGAACCTTGAGAGTTATTATTAAGGTATTTTTTTATAACTTTGTTAAATGATTTTGTGAAAAAGAAAAGGGCGGCAGCTTTTTTCTGTAACAGACTGTGTTAAATGGGTATATTATATCATCCCATATCAATCGCTGGCCTTTAAATCGGATTGAAACGAAATTGTATCGTGGCAGACTTTGTCATATTGGAAAATACCATATCGGCGTCTAAAGGATCAATATAATATCGTATTGTGATGAAACCAGTAATTTACACTCGTATTTCTACTGAGACATCCCTGTGTTTCCAAACAGAATTGTGCCACCAAAAGCGACTATTTTAAGCCAAAACATGATCCTTTCTGAACCATAACCAAGTGGTTTTTGTGCTAAAACCTAACCACGGCATTGCTGAAACAAAACACATATCCACTACAATATCATGTACAAATGTTACTTATTGATGGTTTGCAGAAAGTACAATACCAACATTTATTCTGGCAATCATCTTGGTTTCAAAGGCCTCGTCCATACAGACAACGGTTGTTTTTGAAAACAGGGTTTTCCCCTTCATTGTTCTCAAAAAAATCCCCACATAAACACTGTTACAAAAAATCTCTGTCCAAATGAAAATGCCTAACACAACGGCAGTGTTGTCAGGAGCATGCCAAACAGGCAACAATATAACCACAACCCTTGAGCCAAACAAAAAAGAGGAAACAGAAGATGTTGGCCAATCAGAAGCCTGAAAAAAAAGCTATGACTGGAAGGCTACGTGAAGCAGTGACAGGTCTGTTCCTCACTGTAGTCGAAGAGTAAGTGAACATTCATGTATACACTTGTAAGAAGTCCTGTGAGCAACATTAGAGCCAGCAATGTGTTGGTCACGTCTGCCACGAAATGCACGAAATGTCTCCTCATTTATGACGAGACTTCTCCTTTAGTACGACATTTAATTTCTCTGCAGACCTTTCCCTCATGTTATAAGACACTCATAATAACAACCTGAGGGTGACAGTGGAAAAAACAAGCACTTTTAATGGACATAAATACACAGGCTGCACCTCCCCTGAGTGGTTACATTGCAGCCTGTTTTGCAGATGCCAGCGGCAGTGCTCGCTCTTCATACTGGACCCATTTCAAAAATTGTTGTTCCACCTCAGTGTTACCAACTTAGCGACTTTGTCGCTATATTTAGCGACTTTTCAGACCCCTCTAGCGACTCTTTTTCAAAAAAGCGACTAGCGACAAATCCAGCGACTTTTTCTGATGTTATTGAAGACTTCTGGAGACTCTGTTGTGAGAGCACGTATCATTCTTGTTCTTCTCAACGAGCAGCGGGTGCTGCCGTGGGCTGCTCTCTCGCCGCAAAGCACTGACAGACGGCCCAGTCCTCCCTCCCAGCAGCAGTCAGAGCAGGAGACATTAACCCCTCCACGTCCAGACTGCAAGTGAATCGCGCATGCGCGGAACCGCCGCTGGCTGAGGGCGGGATGTAAATGTAAAATTGTCTTTGTCTAATATAGATCACTGAAAGAAGGTTCATTTGTAGTTCTAAATATATTCAGGGTGTTTTTTTACACAGTTTTTGTCTCTCCCACGACGTTATTCCTCTCTCCTACAGCAGCCATTACAATTACATGCATATGGACAATTATGCAAATTAGGCGATGATGTCATTTAGCGACTTCTAGCGACTTTTAGGACAGCCAATAGCTACTTTTCTTACTAAGGAGTTGGCAACACTGTTCCACCTGGTCACGCGAACTAGGGATGTCAATGGTCGACCATTAATCAGTTGACTGCCAGGAGTGTTTTTTTACTGGTTATGCATGTTGGTCATTCTACTCTTCAGTTAACTGCACTTTGCACTACCAGGGTCTGTTGGAAGCTAATGCTAGCTAGCTGTGCTGCTCATTCAGCAATTACCCCTAGTAACACCGTCCCAAGCCAACCTCATTGCTGTGGAAACATTGTGGCCACCCTCCGTCAAAACCCCTTTAGCGTTGTTGTTTGCTCTGTCAGCATTGTTAGCAGTGTCAGGACGGCTAGTGGAGCTGATGTAGTTGACAATTCTTCAAACTGAAGCCGCTTGTTCACAAGAGCGAGCTGCAGGAGACCAGAGGGTTTTCCCAATACCAGGACAGCGTTACCAGCAGGAATCTCCAAATAAGCAGTGCCGTTAGCGAGCTTCCACCCAGCCCAGATGGTGCGTAGTTCAAACAGACTGGTTAGTTCAATGGATGTCATGCCAAAACTCTGGTCTCCCCCAAGATTGCCCCTGTGAGTCTTGATTTTGAGCCGCAAACCACCCTTCACTATTGATAACTACTGTTAGCTCTGTTAGCACAGTTAGCAGTGTTAGCACAGCTAATGGTGCTAACATAGTTAACAACACTAAAGGGGTTTTGCAGCTCAAAATGAAGCGGCTTACTCACCGGGGCGATCTCAAGGAAGATTGGGGGTGGCTATCATGTCTCTACAGCAATGACCTGCAGTCACTTGGACAGCGTTACCAGCAGCAATCTCAAAATTAGCGGCACTGCTAGCTAACTCCCACTCAGCCCAGGTGGTGCGCAGTGCAGAGCGGCGACAGCTAATGTTAGCTAACCAGCGTAGACTGGAGCTGTGGGTGCTGCCAGCAAAGCCAACAGAAAATAGAATAAAAAGACATTTACAATACCAACATTTAAATTTCACCACCTCTAAATGGACAGCGCTTAGAAATGCAGCCCTAAAGCTCAATGAGTCAGTGGAGCGCTGGACTTAAAGGAAAGGTCTCCTGTATTTCACATCATTTTGCTTTATTTTTTCCTAACAGTTTAACTAGTTACCAGTTAATGAGTGTAAAGCTAACAAATGCAAAACTAACTGAAACTGACATCCTGAACTTGGACACAAAACAAAGGGAAAAGGGTAAAAAAAAAAATACTGGTGTTCCTCGTTACATAGAGCAATACAGTCTACCCAAAGACCTTGGAGATATAATTCACAGAATTCAATACAAGGAAAAATCCCAGAGTCATATATTAATTCATCCACCACCTGATGAGACACTGTAAAACATGATACTGTAGAGAGGTGGGACGACAGCCAACACAAATTTCCACAGATGCAAGAACAACACCTGTGTCCCAAAAAATACGACCTGAGGGTTTTTAGGAATCACAAGTGTCTCCTGATGAATGCAGAACCACTGGTCTAAAAATAAAATGTTGAAACAATAAACCAGTGGAGATGAAATTATATGATTCATGCTGACTATAGAGGTTTATACAAACCCTCTCTGTGCCATGTTTTAAATGTTTCAGGAAAATGTGCAATTCCACGTCGAACCAGGTTTGTGTGAAGGGACAACGTGTTCCTTTTGCCTCCACTGAAAGTGGTATATGAAGAGCATTGTGTGCACCCACATGACATCTCTTTTAAAGACACAGTAGAGCTGCAGGTGTTTCATGTTGTGTAAGATGTTGTGCAGGCGCCGACTGTCAGTGATTGAAGACGCTGGTGGCTGGTTCATCACCACCACTGATGAGAATGAACCGTGTTTTTGGAGGGAAATTATTCACATGTTTGAAGCCTTGAATGCTCTTTGGGCAAATTAATGACAGGCACATGGTTTGGTGATTATTAATGGCCAAAATAACGCTTTATTGCCATTTATTCAACAGTTTGAATGTATTCTACACTGTGACAGATGAGTTTTTATACAAGGAGAACCACTCACATCTAAAACATGTAAGAGTAGAGTTAGTCCAACAAAGGACACAGACACTAAAAGCCTGAATCTGCAACAATGCCTCGCTCCTTTTATGGAGTAACTCTAGTCTCATATGTTACACACATCAAGCAGTGTTACGTATCCACCAAAACTCTCTTTATGGTCAGATAAATGGACAGAGGCACCTCTTATAGAAATGGCCTGTGGAGCGTGACAGAAAGCTCAAGGTGTCGACCTGGCTTCTAAATTTCCCAGGTCCCAATCTGCTCAAGGATTCTTGTGATGTGCCGGTACCCCAGATGTACCCTGATCCAAGGTGGGGCCTCCTTGGATCGGACTTGGCTCTGACCTGTGGAGGCATGGACACAGGATCTCTGGGAGTGTCCTGTGGTGTCTGGCACCAGTGCGTTGGCGGCAGATCCATTTAGTCCAGTGGGTTGTGAGGTAGGTTAATGGCACGTGCCACAGATGCTCATTCAGATTGGGATCTGGGGAATTCGGAGGCCAGGTCGACACTTTGAGGTCTTTGTCACATTCCTTGGGCCATTCCTGAACCATGTTTGCAGTGTGGCATGCTGCATTATCCTGCTGGGGGGCCAAGTTATTTCGATATGTGGGATATAAATTGTGTACATGGTGGTATTTTAAAGGAGCCCTGGTAGAACACTGGGGTGCACATGTACATATATATTTTCATTGTTTATTTACATTATGAATATGGGCAACAGGTGTGGCCTGTCACACGTCTGGCTCAGGCACTGTGGGTACTTAAGGTGGCGACTCTCTATGTTAATTACCTCATGGCTTTCTTTTCTTATTTATTTTTCTTGTATTATTTGCATAAAATCTAACCAGTTTAAACTGATACACCTAATCGGGCTGGCAAAACCGGAAATCAACCCAACTCTAGCGCTCATACCGTTGTTACCACTGTTGTCGTGAAGGTCGTGTCCACCCTCCAGTTCCCCCCTAGTTAACGCTGTTAAACTCTGTCAGCACTGTTGCTGTTGTTTAGTGCTGTACCGTTAGCTGCTAGGCTCAACCGTTTCCATGTTGTGAACACATCTTAACAGTTTACAGCAGCACTTTTAGTAGATTTAGTTGTAATTCAGTCTTCAGTTGTATTTTATGCTTCATGTGTACGCTGTTACACTGAGGCAAAATGTTAAAGTATGTGAAAACGGAACGATCCAAAAATCTCCAGCTGCAGTGACTTATCTAATGCTTCAACACTCAAAATGGTAACCTAGATTTCCCATAAGAGACAGTGTGTGTGTGTGTGTGTGTGTGTGTGTGTGCGCGCGTGTGAGACAGAGAGAGCATGTACCTCTCGGCCAGGCCTCTCTTGGTTAGGCCAGATATAGTGATGGGGTCAAAAGGCTCCTCGGTGCCTGAGATGGTGATACCCAGAGGGCCTCCGTACCGCTTCAGCTCCACTGTGTAGATGATGCTGCCTGACGTCTCCTGCTCATCTGATACACATACACACACACACACACACACACACACACACACACACACACACACATGCACATGCAAGTGTTATTCTAATGTTTCAACTCCAGCAAGCAAATGATACTGCCTGACGTATGTGGCTCTACCCACACACACACACACACACACACTAAAGCACTTCAGTTGGTGATACTGCATCACGTTATCTGTTCAAGTGAAATGCACAAAAATGTGCACACACATATGCACACACACACAAACACATTTCATTCCAGAAGTAGGTCAAAATTCTTCTCAAGAAAACACTGGTGAGGAAGACACAGTTTCCATGGCAACCAGGGAGAGGACTGCCTTGTCATCATGTAGCATGAATATGATCTCTGCATTTTACCCTGTATGTGTATGTGTGTGTGTGTGTGTGTGTGTGTGTGTGTGTGTGTGAGATCATATCCTCTGAGTCATAATCTAGCACGATTACACAATCTCTCTCCGGTATTTGTGTGTGTCTGTGTTTTTTATATCACATGAAAACACACAATGAAACAGGGTGACATCTCTTTGCAACAACTCAGATGCATTCATTTAATAAAGTCCTCGAACTGCACAAATCCAAGATGGTGGCTGTTGACTAACTGACGAAGCACAAGAGTTGTTAGCTGGACTGAAACTCAGGAAATCAAGGCTGCTACATGCTGTCCATGATATTTACATGGCACCACTCCACCAACAGGGTATCATCTTCCTACTTGTTTATTTACCATATTTCCATATTTATATCTTCATTTGTTCTTTTTGTTTTGTTGTTTAACAGTTGTTATTGTTTTAGTATTGATTTAACTGTTCACTTTTCCAGTAGTTCTTTCCCCACTTGGATCAATAAAGATGCATCTTACAATATGTGACCATTTTAAATCTGCAGCTGGAGTCCATGAGTTGTGGACAACAGCACCATCCAGTGGTCAAACACAGGTAGTGCATCTCCTTAGAGCTCATGCCTGCTTAACTGAAGAACATTATTTAATAATTAAAAAAACAACTTGTAAAATCCGTCGACATTATGCTTATGATTTTAACGGACGCACCACAGACAGACTCAGCCATATTCATGTGCACACATGTACCTGAGTTGTCTTCGTCTTTGCGTATCTTTAGTTTGACCAGTTCCTCACACTGCTGCAGGATCTGCTCTGCATCGTCTTTGGAACAATTCTCCAGTCGGATGTTGTCGATGGCCAACAGCTTATCACCAGGCTCCAGTGTTCCTGTTCTGAAGGACAGAAAGAGAAAGAGTTCGGCCCTGTCATGGTTGTACTGTAGTGCAACTGTAATTAGCAAGTAACATACTCTTAAAAATGAACAAACAAATCTTTCTTAATGGCTCTTTCAGCGTCCTGTATGTACCAGGTCAGCCTGTCGAACATCTGAGTGCTCACGAATTCCCTACTTTTCCAACTCATGCCCTTGCTGACATCATAGGGTCACTAAATGAGAATGAACTGATCTATCATAGTGGGACGTCTGCTAACGTAGTACAGCAAGGGCACTGAGTGAGTGAGCAAGGACAGATTAAATTGAACTTGAGTTGATGCCTCCTCCAGCCAAGGCCAGTGGTGCATTTATGTGCTCATTGGATGGTCGTTCTTCCGACTTCGGTGTGTTCATGAGCTTTAAGTTGTACAGTAATGTGGAAACAACTTGGACGCTATAAATCAATTGATCAAAGCTCTGATTCTCTGCCCAAGCCTGCGTGGCACCGACCAGATCAAAAACTAAAAAGAGAGACCATATAACACCCTACACTGTCTGGCTCCCAGTATCTTTTAGAACTGATTTTAAAGTCCTTCTTTTGTTTTTTTAAGGCTCTTGATGGCATCGCCTCCTCCTATTTAATAATATCATCAATATCACCTTATGTCCCTCCACGAACCCTGAGATCCTCCACAGCTGCTCTTTTAACTGTTTCTAATGTCACTACAAAAACCTTTGGGGATGCTTCTTTTAGCTGCTACACCCCAAAACTATGGAAAATCCTGCCTTTAAATATTAGACCTGCTGGCTCAGTGGACAGTTTTAAATGATTTAAAACATGTCTTTTTAATATAGCCTACATCTAGCAGCTATCTGTTTTAATATTCTTAATATGTATTTATTCAATTATTTGATTAATTAACTGATTGATTAATTAATTAATTTATTCTTCTCATTTCTCCTTGAATGAGTGTTGTATGTTTTTATTTCTTTGCTGTTTGTATCTGCCACTAAATTGCAAATTCAGTGCATGAAAGGTGTGATATAAACAAAGTTCATTCATTCATTCATTTATTTATCTGCCTGGTTTGCGCCGGGATGAGCTGTAATGCCCTCGTGCTTCAATCGGGGTCAGGTCGCCAGTTTATCAGCTCTGTTTTTTTAATTCAATGAAACTGAAACTGGCAGTTCTGGTGTGTAAACAACAGGAGTTTTAATGGACTGAATCAAGAGGGAAAGAGAGAGGAAAAGGGGAAACGCGACTGAGAGAGGGAAAGTGACAGAACTACAGAGCAATGTAGTGTCTGTGTGCGTGGGTGTGCTGGGGGGGAAATCTCTCCCAGCAGTGAGAGAGATGTGGGTAACATGCAGCAGAGAGAAGTAATCATCATCTGCACGCCACATCAGCACGGACAGCCGTGCACACTAGACGCACAGAGAGGTGCAGCCCGCTCTGCTGAACCTGTCGTGCACCAGACGACAGACTGTTGATATAACAGGAGGAGGAGAAGGAGAAGTGGTGCGAGGAAACATGTCAGCACTTAGCTTGTGATAAATATTTTAAAAACATTTATATTATAATATGTACGGGGCTCCCACACATTTTCATAGACAAAATTTCAAAACTTTTCCATGACTTTTCAAGGACCCATGGTATTTTCTTCTTCTTGCCCTACTTGTACAGTGATTTTCAAACATAATTTTAGCTAGCTGGCATACATCATGGAGGGAGAGGTGGGATGCTGGGAGAAAATGGTAAGTAATGGTAAACAAAACGTCACAACTTGAGGCATATTAGAGCTATGTTAGATCACCACATGATTCCCGAGCGCGGTACCGCTGCTGCTCACCGCTATCTCAGGGGATGGGTCAAATGCAGAGAACAAATTTCACACGCTCAGGTGTGTGACAATCAGTGGGACTTTAACTTTAACTTTAACGTTACGTCATCAACTCCAGAGAATAAATTTGCCATTACGTTGTGTTGAAGGTTATCCATGAAAGATTACTGTAACAGTTTTACAACACAAGGAAATCCATGACTTTCCCAGGTTTTCCATGACAGTGGGAATCCTCTATATAAAACTTTTTAGTTTTTTTTACAGTAGAAATTCTATTTTGAATCGGGCTCGGCCCAAAACTGCTGCCGTGGGTCAGGTTCGGGTCATGCTTGGATAGAAACTGAAAGTTCATTTAGGATCGGGCCTGATTTTTTTGGGCCTCACCCCAGCTTGAATTTACATGTATAAACTCGAAGGAATGATAGGCCAACAGAACAGAAAAACAAAACAAAACAAAAAAACTGTTAGATACCTGTGGGCCATGCTGCCCTTCTTGATGTCAGAAATGATGAGGGGCTCTCCTGGCTTCTTACTGGCTGTGGAGGGAGATGACATCACAGTAAGCAGCAGGAACAACAGCAAAGCAAGTGACACTGCAGTCAAATATGAAAATGCAAAACTGCTACTACTATTGCTACGAATTCATCAAGGTTTAAAAGTGCCAAATAAACAAACATCGGTATCATCACAAATCAGATTTCCCTTTAACAGCCACTAAGAGAGGGAAAGGCTGAAAATGTTGTGATAGTGTAGAAAAGGAAATGATCCTTGTCGCATTAAATCTCTCTTATCCTCTTATCAGGAGAAAAACTGTCCACGTCAGCTGGTAAATTTGTCAGATCAGCTAATGTTTCCTTCTCTGCCCTGCAGGAGTCTTTTCACTTTCAGCTGTGGATACTTTCAGCCAGAAGGTGGCACCATCGCTCCGTTCTCTGTCTCAGAGTCTCACAGTGCAGCCTGTTATTCACAGGGAAGCACTGTGAGGTCAACTCGATCAACCTCGACCCATACATACATTCATACATACATATATACAAACATACATCATGGCTCTGTGTGGAGTTTTTCAGCATGTGTACATTTAGATAGAACTGTTGGGATGACCTTTTTTCTTGTAAAGTTACACATATAACTTTATTGAAAAGCCTCTGTTTAACCGTGGAGGTCACACCAGTCCTCCAGCTTCACACAGTTATGCAGGTAAATAACAGTCTCAGTGAGCAGAGCTGCTTAACCAGTGGTGGGATGTAACTAAGTACTTTTACTCAAGTGCTGTACTTACTGTAAGTACAATTCTGAGGGACTTGTACTTTCCCAGGTATTCCCATTTTATGTTAATTTATATGTCTCTTCCGCAACAGCTGCACTCAGTCTGGCAGCTTTAGTCTTGAGCTATTTTGCAGATTCAGATTATCAATACAAAATACTGTTAATCAACTAAAGAATCATGGTGTATTTTTATGCACAGACACACGTAATTCATGGGCCTGGAATACTTTTACTTTTGGTACTTAAAGTATATTTTAATGCTTATACTTTTGTTCTTACACTTACGTGAAGTTTTGCAGCCCACTGCATTGGCATTGAGGGAATGGTGGAAGGCACAACACCTTGGTGAGACACCTGCCAAACTGCAGAACACTGTCCGAACCCAACAAAACAATTTCCTTTTTCTTTTAGTTATTGCTGCGTTTCCGGTGGCATTTCAGCTCCCTAAAAATGGTGTTTTTTAGGAACCTGTGGCCCTTTTTCCAGCGAAGATACTGACATGTAAAGCGGTATTTTTTACTGAGACATTACTGCATTCTAGCGTGGAGTGTGCTCCCAAAAGCAGGGGCTTTAAGCCAAAACATGATCTTTTCTTAACCATAACCAGGTGGTTCTTGTGCCTAAACCTATCCACACATTAACTACAGCATTGTTAAAATGTAAAAAAAAGTTTCAATTCAGCTTCATCCGCTAAATGATATTGTACAAATGTCACATATCTGTGGTTTGCAGACACGTATAAGGTCAACATTTTTTTGGCGATGGCTTCAGTTTTAAATGCAGATCTTTTGCTTGTAACAGAGTGTTTCTTCACAGTGGTATTTGCTACTTTTACTTATCCCACCACTGTGCTTTACTGAAATTAAATAAAGAGACCTGAGAGTGTTAACACTTTCACATGTGTCTGACGATTCTGTTGTACACTTTTCAGGACATCAAAGTGCTTCTAAATTTTATCTTTAATACTTACTGATATATTTACATGTCTTTAGTCCAAATATTTAAAAATGTGCCAGGTTCAACAGTCGACCTGCACACTGAGCTCATACTTTAAAATAATACTGCCAAACTAAAGTATACACACGTCAGACTCACAATAATTACCATCAACACTAACACTGAATGTAGGACAGCAGCAGTGAAGCTTCAAAGTGCAGTATGTGTTTCACAATTGCTGCTGGTCTACCACTGCCTCCATCGTTAGTTTGTTTGTGTTCTTGTGTGACTTTGGTGAATCTGAACTAAACCTTAAAACACCAAAGTCACACAATAGCATTAACTAACGGATCGCGGCAGCAGTGGACCAACAGCTCCCATGTTGAGTGAGGTAAAATGACTGTTTCTGTCAGTGGAGTCTGGCTTCTCAGACACAGACAGTTTTTTTCACATTTACTTCAGTTCCCCGTCAGAAGGGGCTGTCCGACTGGGAGGTACTAAACACACAACTGGATAAATGAGACTTGTGGGCCCTTTCCACTGTCACTTTAGGCCACGCCGAGTCAAGCTGTGCTGCGCCGATTTGTGTTTCCATTATCAGTTTAGATGCACCATTCCACGCATGTCATGCTAAACTGCACCACAGATGGACCTTCTGCAGAGTAGGTCCAAAAGCCGGATCACCCTCCCTCAAGCAGGTAGCATTTACGTCTTGCCAACTGGCATTTGTGTTGCAAGACTTGACTCACCTCTGTCTGCAGGTTAACAGAGAGAAAGGCATTTTTAAAGTCTCAGTGTGTTCAGCTCTCAGTACATCTGTAGCTTCTAACTGAATCTCTGTGGTTCGGAGTTCAGTTTCTCTCCTGCGTCCTGTTTTTACTTTAGATATCTGCTTTATTTTACTGTTTCATGTGTGCTGTCAGACGTATTAGAAGTTTTGTTTTGTTTGTTTTACATTAGAAAATAACAGGGGACTTTTATTGTGAAGACTCTTTAGGAAATTAAATGTGTTTATCACTGAATTAGCTGAACTTTGATAGCAGCTTTTCTTCAATTAAGGCAAGTCTAATAACACGGCAGGGAGGAAAGTGAAAGCAGAAACAGCGACAGTGAGATGTTGATGAAGAGCTGCAGACAACAGGCTCTTACTGCACCTCTGCAAACAGCTCACCTCCAACAGGTAAACTTCTTTCACCTGCCCTGCTGTGGAAAAACACATGCAGCAAAAACAGCACTCTGCTTTTAAACGTCATCACTCAAGACAAGCCGTCATCAGTTAAAGACACACCTTCAAGAAAGTAGCCCTGTTGTAATGGGAATGCAAATCAATGCCGTGCTGGGCTGATGGCCCAAAACCAAATCAAACCGAACCAAACCAGCCCATGACTGTCGAAAAAGTGGTGCTGGATTTTACTACACGATTTGTGAACGAGTTTGAAAACAGACATTTTGATATAGTTTCACTGTTGTTTAACCTGGACCCCTGTGACTTCATTTCATCAAGAATTTTCCCCATTTTTGAATTCCCCGTTCACTGGAGGCGTGCGAGAAACACAAAGTTTCATTCTTGAATTCAACCCAATGCGGGGTGAGTAACTGATACACAAATGGTCATTTGAGGGGTGAAGTATTCCTTTAAGATTTGCCTGAATTACAACTAAGTGGTCTCAACCAAAAACTGCCTCACACTAAAAGACGACATGTGTACAGCAGGTCCACATACCATAGTTTCAGCTATAAAGTATAAGCTCAGTGGTTTGTGATAAGTGTCATAAAAACGAAAGACAGACTGTGAGTGTGGCCTGGTACCTTTCCCATTTTACAAACAGTGTTAATGTTTATAGCTGAGCTCTCCTGCAGGCTACAGTCACCATGAGAAATACATGCGTGTGCTTGTGTGTGTTTTAAAAAGTGCAGGGTGGTCTCGTGACATTCAAACACTCTGCCAGCAGTTTAAACAAAAAATAGATCACATGAACAGTGTTTGATGTGTTCGTACCACTGATGGTGAGCCCCAGCTCCACTCCTCTTTTCTTCGGCAGTTTGACGTGGAACGTACCACTACTAGGCACCACGGACTCTGCAATAAAAACACATAGAGAAAAGCCGTCATTATGAAAAAAAAAAGAAGGAACAAATAAGTCTTTTCATCCTGCTTAACATTTGTAATTACAAGGCTTTTAGCTCTTGCACTTATCGCCTCTGAATTGCTCTTCTGCGGGGCAAACAGTGACTTCAAATCCTCACTGTTTGCCTGCATGAGTCATAATACTAATTCCAGCAGTTAAAACAACTCTACGCCCAGGCATAAACATGACAAGTGAAAGTCGTGAGCAGAGCGACCACTTAAGACTTTTTAACAAGCTATTTGGATCAGCTCCTCACTTCAGGATCCTCACCAAGAAGCTCCAATCATCCACTGACACTGCAAGCATGATGATCAAGTTCATTAGCTGCACATCAGTCACATTTCCTTTTGTATCAGAGTGATTAAGTTTCATGGACAGTGTCGTGCTGACAGCTACTAAAAGTGGATAACAACTAAATTCCATTCAGGGCCATCTAACTTATTTTGAAAGACTTCAAGAGCAAAAGTCTCAACGATTACATTTGGGAATATGCTGCATCAACTCTTGCAGTTTATTGTAGTGTAAGAAATCATTCTTATTATTCTTATTACTATTTCATAATTACTTGCTGGCGATGTTAACTCATTAAATGATGCAACATTATGAAAGGCAATACCAAAACAGTGAAAAACATGATTTATAAACGCAGAGACCTGCAAAGCCTTAATCAAGTCAAATCAAATCCAACTCTCTCATCGTGCGATCATCAGCTAAATATGTAGATTTTAATAGTTTGTGCACAATTAACTGTGGAGAAACTAGAATTACCACCCCATAGTTGCATACACCCACACACCAGTCAATTTTCTCTTACGTTTTACATCCATGTCTGTGAAAACATGCTTCACACTCATCTTCCCCCCGGTAGCACAGAAGATCTATACAATCAGTTTCAAGGTGGGCACCCATGATTAGTTTCACCAATTCAGTATCTGACCAAATGTCTCCACTTCTGTTCCTGAGATATGATGTTAAATAATGGTCAGAAAAGAGTTTTCTGAAGAACATTATGATGTCACAGTGAAGTTGATCTTTGATCTTTTGGATATAAAATGTCATCACTTCATCATATTATCCTGTTAGACATTTGTGTGAAGTTTTGTCATAATTATTAAAATAATTCCTGAGTTATGGCCAAAAATATGTTTTGTTAGGTCACAGTGACCTTGACCTTTGACCACCAAAATCATTCAAATCAAAGGCCCAATCCCATTTCTACCTCTTAAATCTTCCACTTGGTATTGAGTGCCCTCGTTTGCGAGATAACTCTTGATGAGGGAAGTGAGAAATATTAGGGTGGAGATCTTTCCCAAAGAAATGGGACACCATTTCATGCAAATCGGCGCGGCTGACGTGTAGACATACGTCACGCGTAGTAGCGACACAAGATACCGGTAGTCATTCAGGTTTGAAAATGTCGGCTCCAGCGCTTGTGTTGTGGCGTGTGCTAAGTTTATTCTTCTCCGTCTGATGAATCAACGGAGAAGAAATGATGAAAACAGGAGGCGCCTACGACGTCTTCTAGTTCTGATCAATTTTGTTGGGGTAAGTCGATTACGCTAGTCCAACCATCTGTTGTTTGTATAGCCTACATTCCGATCGTACAGTAACAAATTGTTTTCCAAAACTTGACGGAGTTGCTGACTTCGCAAGGTGTTCTGGGAAATTTCATCTTCCACTTCGTTGTAAGTGTGGGTCGGGGCTCCCTTGGAGTCTAGGTTGGATGTGTGTGAAGTGTTTGAAACCACTTCCACTATCTCAGTTCTGTTTTGGGACACCACTAGCCTGAACGTGAACACGCACAACCAAGTGCAAGTGGGTATTTCTAGGGGAAGTGTGGGTATTGGGACAGGCCCATAATCGTTCATTGTTGAGTCCGAGTAAATTTGAGGAAATTCCCTTAAGGTGTTCTTAAGATATCACATTGTCCATGTGATGGACAGATAAACGGACTACCCAAAAACATAATGTCTCAGGCTATCAGCAGCGCAGAAGCATACACAGGAGTTTGTACTGATGTTTTAACAGGGCAAATGTTGTATTTTCTAAGCTAATATTTATATGCAATGCACTTGAAATAAATATTGGCATATAATCAATTATGAAATATATTTCTACATCCTCACGGTGCGTTTTTCATCAGTCTGTCTTTTTTTCATTTAAAAAATAAATCAAAGTGGTGAAATTGAACAATCAAAAACTGTTTTGTAAATCAAAAGGTTCTGTTTTGCATCAGAAACAGAAACTATGTACAGGACAGAGATACAGAAAAATAACAGATGTAGGAAATAAAACCTAAATACTAAAAATTCCACTGCTTCTGTGTTTGTGTTTCTTGATGTGTTAACATAACTACAGTTCAACAGTAATCACATAACAGTAATACGTGGACATTTTTGCCTGTATTATTTTGTTTTAGCAGCTGAGCTAAGTATGGACGGACTGTGAACCATCTGAACCTCATCAAAACTCACCTAAACTAGCAGGGGGACCCAGCTGATTAGGCTTTATATATCGAAACAGACTTTTAAATATTTTCCTACTGAGCTCTTTTTGCAAGGCTTTACATCCTTATCGTGGGTCAATTAAAAAGAAGCCAAAAGCTTTATGAATCAAAACATTCAATCAATCAATCCAACATGCCTTCTAAAAAGTGAAGCGAATAGTGATAGTTCATCATCATTGTACTCTACCTCTCATTTATAATCTGGCCAAAAATAAACCATTCGCACAAACTCACCAGCATCCACAACAAGAGTGAAAAACTGTGGCTTTAACGCCAGGATTTTGTCTTCGACTTTAAACTTTCAATCATCAAGGGGTACATTTTTAATATCTAATAACTAATTTATGGCAGAGCGAAGGCCACGCATTTTCCACCAGAGAATATCAAGGAAAATATATGTAGCTTTGGGAAGGCTAGAAAAAAAAATGAATTCACACCCCAACCACCCCCGTCCTCTGATAAATATACAACAGTCCCTTACCAGAAAACTGCATAGAGCTGCAAACTGCTGCTCAAGTAATGAAAAACAGCAGACTGCTTCTTTCTACAGATTCCACTCATTAAATACATTTAATGTAAGTAATCAACAGATTCACTTCACACCAAACACAATGTCCTGTCAATGTCACCTTTCAGAAACTTGTAATTGATTGAAATCTGTGAGTGTTTTCAGAATCTTTTCTCCAACACAGATCAGAAGACGAGACTACGTAATACACAGTGTTGAACTTGCAGTTCTTGTCAGTGTGCTAGTTAACATTTTCATGGGGTTAAAAGCATGTGGATGAGGCCATGCCCTGCAGTGAAGAGCTGTAATTACTCTCCTGCCTGCACTGAGGCAAAAGCTCTCAGCAGCTGAGTTTGACCAGTTCATGCTGTCGGTGCAAACGTGTGTATTTGTTCATTCTCCAACATAACTGCTACATGTTTGCTAATAGAGAATGAACAGTGTATAACAGCTGCTTTATGCTGTTTAATCACACTCTAATAAAATGGTTTCAGCCCTCATAGACGAGGAAAAATACCCAACAGGTATCTGTCGCCTGTTGTTGTTGCAACAGCAGGTGTCTGAAACAATTCACAATATCCCATAGTTGACATGACATATAATAAAGCCACACAATCACAATGCAGAGTAGTAAGCAAACTAATTAAAGCAGAAATCTGGGGTGGGTAATGAACCATAGTGGAAAGCTACGAGAGATAGAAACCTGAGAATGTGGTACAATCTGAAACTTCACAAACCTGCTACATCGAATTCTATCTCCAGTGTGACCTTGTTGGTCAGCGCCGCATCTCGGAGAAGCTGATTGGCCTCCTCTAGTGTTCCATCTTCTGTGGGGATTCCATTGATTGACAGGAGGCGGTCTCCAACCTGCAGCAGGCCACACCTACAACAGGAGTTACCATGGAGATGTCAGGACAATGGGAAACATTGAATATTTACTGTCTAAACATCACTACATCTTACGATTTCAGTGCTCTGAGACAAAACGAGTGCTTTCAAAAACTACAGCTCCCATGTTGTTTTAACAGAGCAGTTGTATTTTCTTGTGATGCTTTTGGACTTTTTGAGTTGGATTTTAGTAAATTGTTATCAATGTCAGTGGCCTTGTTTATACCTGGTATTAACATGAGTCTTGAGAGATCCAATCACAAGTGGACGGGGCTAAACACAAGCGTAAACAACGCTAAGGCGCATTCTGATCAGATCGCTCAAACCACTTGCCGGGGTGTTCTGGAGCACATTTGATTTGTAGACGCTCATGTGTCCTGATGCATCCCAGACAAGGACTTCAATGCAGGACGTGGTGACTGTTTCAGTGACAGTGTGCTAATGTTCTACAATTATGCAGACAAAGATCTCTACAGATGTACCAACACAACCACTAACGTGACTAGCGAGCAGCTAGTGAGAGTGTGGACATAATAACTGTGCACAGGACAAAAAAATTGCACAATCCTAGGTTACCGAAAGAATGACCCGCCCTACTCTCCCTATGATTGGCTAGCATTCACCTTTTTTCAATGGATTGGTCAGGTTTGGCTAGGTAGGCAAGAGGAGTAGGACTGGTTAGGGTTAGGGTAAGAACGTCAGGGTAAGCCAATCAGAAGCAGAGTAAGGTGGGCCATTACTTCACTAACCTAGCATTTGCAAATTTGCTCAACCCTTTGACCCTCTAGCATACGTATGTAGGCAGTAATGTAATCTGAACACAAGTGGTCAGCTGGGCACCCATGATAAATGGTCAGGTGTTGTGTCTCAGCTGTTCACCAAACATATGTTAATAACAGCTATAATCAGGCTCAACATGATTTTAAATGAGGTTTTCTTACTGCTAGAACAGAACCTGTGGGATCTGGTTTTATTTTTGGTAAGGTTTTGTCAAAAGAATCATCTTTTCTGGTTGGATTGTTGGAGCTTTGTGGGCCAAAACATTTCAGTTCATCCAAGTTCTTTGGTATCTTTTAAAAAACCTTAGGCTGTTTTTCAGTGGGTATAATATCCCTAAAAAGCTGAACCAACAAGACCTTGAGAGAGGTAGAGGTTTCGTCAAAAGTAGTGCTGTAAACGTTTGTTAAGCCATTAACAGAGGAGATAAACGAGGAACCTCCTGAGGTTTTTCTGGCCAAGTCACCAGAAGAAAACGTTGGCATTGTATGTTTCTGCAAACCACAGATTTGTTACGTTCACATGTTACATACATATCAACATTTCTAAATTGAAGTACAATTTGAGTGTATGAGTATACTGTCATCTGGTGGTGGAGAGGATGGTGGATGGCGTGACACCTACACAAGACACCTATCAAGCCATTTCTTGCAAAGACCAATCTATGAGACCATCAAACAACAGAACCAGTTGTGATTTAGCAAGTCGTAGCTGTTTCCAGCAGCTTTTGGGCACAAAAAGCAGCTGCTTTTCACTGAGACATCACTGCATTGTTGCCGGGATTTTGCCCCAAAACCGAGTATTTTAAGGCCAAACGTGATCTTTTTCTAACCATAACTAAGTGGTTTTTGTGCCTAAACCTGACCACATGATAACCACAGCATTGTTGACGCGTAATGTTTCAATGTATCTGCTATATAATGACGTCCAAATATAACACATTCGTGGTTTACATGAACGTACAATGCCACCAATTTCTAAGCCTATTGGGTTGATCTCTCAGTGATTTTAGTCTGAACGACCCATAAAAGGTTCCTAAAAGCAGAGGGAGATGAAGGTTTCCAAAAACATGCTGGAATAAAACCTGTTTTTGTAGCTATTTTCTGAGCCTATTTAGATATGATTACCCCCCTGGGTTAAAATGCTCCCTGAAGGGGAAGAAAAACTCAAGCACGTAGGTGTGCTAATCGTCAGCAGCCTCCTGCCTGGGATCTTCTTCCTTTAATCCATTTTACATAGACAGATGAAACCCGAAGAGCTTCAGACTCCCTGCTGTGTTACGTATCACATTATTTTTTAGCTACTGTAGCTTTTAATGCTGCTGATGAATTTTAAAGATTTCTGCCTTCAAAACATTCACCCTTTGGACACCCCCAAAGCTGGCTTCTCGCTACATAAATTAGTTCTGCAGTGAAAGTAAAGCACATTAGTGCTGACTATTAAAGTCATTAATTATGTTAATACCCTTCCTTGACAAAATAGAGGTATATTACTAAAGAGTCATTCCATCTTTTTGGATATTGGCCTCTGAGTTTAAGCACATTTGGAAGTGAAGCCCCTCATACGATAGTTGGAAACTTAACTGCATTTCAAGTCATTTCAGTTATACTTACCACTGCTTAGGACAAGCCCAAAAACCCTCCTAGTGCTAACTGATCTGAGTACAGTAAACAAGCCACACATACCAAACAGCGCTGTCCTTGCAATGAGTTTCTAAAGGTAGACAGTAAAACACAATAGGCACAAAGCTTGACTCGTCTTAAGTATTTAAAGAAGCTCACAAATCCAAAGCTGCAATGAAAGAGCAAACTCCTAGAAGAATATGCGGAGTCATTCTGCAAGAAATGCTATTTACCAGCTAGCAATTATGCTAAACAACAATTAACTCCTTGAAATAACTTCCGCAGCAGAAAAACAATACAGCGACTATATTCTGCTTACAGCGTCAAAATTCAGATATAACAAAATACTTACAGACAAATAATGTCCAAAGCAAGAACACAATTTTAAATGCACTCAGCTAGTTTCTGTGCTCCTCTTGTAATTGTTTTTTCTGGTAGTACAATTTCTTTAATGGTTATCTCTGTTATTCAATTACTTGTTTGGCAGATGCTTTTGTCCAAAGTGATGTACCAATGAGATTTGTTATCCCATAAGCAAAGAACACTTCTTGTAATTGAAGTTTGGCTTACTTATGTATGCAAATAGCACCACAGCAGCGCTACATTGGCTTTGGCTCTCAACACATCATCAGCTTTCAGCATTCAGTGGCCATTAACATGAGCCATTGCTTTCCAACATAAAGAGCAGAGATGCTGAACCTTGCTGCAGTGGATTTAATGTCTCCTTTATGTCACTCATTGTTCAAATAATTTTAACTTTGTCCTTGCTTTCTGATGACCTGAAAGAGTTTCAAGTGTGTCAGAACTGCACAATATCACGTTACAATCATACTATGATCTTAACAGGTAGATTATCAACCCAATCGCCAGCATAAATGTTGTCATCTACCAGATGACAAAGTCATTTCATATACTACACCACTTTAGAAACGTTGATATGATATGTATGAAATGTTCAAATGTATCTGGGGTTTGCAGATAGGTATAATAACATTTTCATGTAGCGACTGGGCTGTGATTTTAACATTGTGGAACTTCAGTCAGACTGAGCTAACTGACACACAGCAATTTATCTTTATACAATGGCTCATATGTAATCTAACAAATTAGCACCTAACAAATTAGTGCCCCTACCAGTTAGGTTAGGCTTAGGAAAAGAATCATGGTCGGGCATCCTCACGTTACGTACTTAAAGTAAAGTTACGTAGGTTAAGTTTAGGAAAATAATTATGTTTGGCCATCGATAGGTTAAGTACGTGGTTTAAAGTTACGTACTTAACATAAAGTTAGGTAGGATAAGGACGCGTAGGTAAGGTTAAGGAAAAGAATCATGGTTAGGCATCCTCACATTTCGTACTTAACGCTAAGTTACACAGGTTAGTTTTAAAAAAGTAAAGTTGCGCAGGTTAGGTTTAGGAAAAGAATTATGGTTGGACATCATTGGGTTAGGTCCATAACTTAAAGTTAGGAATTTAACGTAAAATTAAGTAGGTTTAGGACGCAAAGGTTAGATTGAGGAAAAGAATCAAGATTGGGCATCGTCACATCACATACTTAACGTTAAGTTACGTAGGTTAGGTTTAGGAAAAGAATTATGATTGGGCATTGTTAGGCTAAGTACGTAGCTTAAAGTTATGTACTTAACATAAAGTTAGGCAGGATAAGGACACATAGGTTAGGTTAAGGAAAAGAATCATGGTTGGGCATCCTCACATTTCGTACTTAATGCTAAGTTACACAGGTTAGTTTTAAAAAAGTAAAGTTGCGTAGGTTAGGTTTAGGAAAAGAATTATGGTTGGACATCATTGGGTTAGGTCCATAACTTAAAGTTAGGAATTTAACGTAAAATTAAGTAGGTTTAGGACACAAAGTTTAGATTTCGGAAACGAATCATGGTTGGGCATCCTCACATTTCACACTTAACGGTAAGTTACACAGGTAAGGTCTATGAAAGTAAAGTTACATAGGTTAGGTTTAGGAAAAGAATTATGGTTGGACATCATTAGGTTAGGTCCATAAATTAAAGTTAGGAATTTAACGTAAAATTTAGGTTTAGGACGCAAAGGTTAGATTGAGGAAAAGAGTCAAGATTGGGCATCGTCACATTACAAACTTAACGTTAAGTTACGTAGTTTAGGTTTAGGTTTTGGGGAAAAACAGCTGGGTAAGTTAGATTTGGGAAAGTAAAATTACGTAGGTTAGGTTTAGGAAAAGACACCTGTCCTCTGCGCCCGTTGAGCACAGCTATGTAGAGAACCTTCAGTGGACTACTGGGGAAAATGTAGACAAGATGATTGTAACTGCAGTTCACTTTTTTTTTTAATAGCTTTAGGATCAAATGTCATGACTGTCGTACACTGAACTAAAATAAGAGCCCTATTATTAAATGCTACGACATGATTACAGTGGTTATCCCTTTCTGCCCCGAGGAGACTTCTGACAGGAGAAAATGAAGATGCAGTGATTTGTCTCACTTTAACCAGGCCTCGCCTTCATGCAGTCACTGCCCTTTGGATTTGCAGGGCACTTATGATTTTCACTTGTGTGCATGTGACACACACACACACACACACACACACACGCACAGCTGATATATCCTCCATTAAGCCATGAGTAGGTGACCCGTATTAATGTACAGCCAGACATCTTTATCATGATCTACTGAGTATTAAATGTTCAGCCAAGACTGTCGTCCCTGCCTCGCTGCCCTCTGTTTTCCATTTTTTTTATTCTCTTCACTACTTTTCTGTTTCTCTGCCTGTTTTTTTTCCAGTTTTCATTATTCTAAACAGTTCAAAGAAGTTTCCGTCCCTTTTTTACCTGTCTCGCTCTCATTCCTTTCATCATCTCATCTAATTTCTCTGCTCATTATTCTTTCCTTTTGCTTTTAAGTCTTGCAAGGTTTTTATATTAGCAGCCCTGTTGCTACAAGAAAATGTTGGCATTGTACACTTCTGCAAATCATGGATATGTTACATTTGTACGTTTCACACATGTATCAGCGCTTCTGAAGTGATGAATCATATGAGCGGACTTTGTCACCGGGGGGTGTAGGGGACAATGGATGGTGTGACACTTAAGCAAGATGCATACCAGGCTGCAGACCACTGTTTAAGACCAACAAACAAAAGATTTGGTTGTTTTTAGCAACCTGATGCCGCGTTTCCAGCCAGGATAGAGCCACCAAAACCGGCTATTTTAAGCCCAAACATGATCTTTTCCTGACCATAACCAAGTGGCTTTTGTGACTAAACCTAACCTGGGGCTGCTCAATTAAGGCAAAAATAATAATCACAGTGTCAAGTCACGCAGGGATGAGCAACGGAAGCCTCAACTTGTGCTCTCGCTGCCTTTGGGTTAATAGCCTCTTTTTCATCTCATTCTCAAATGTGCTCACATATCAGGACTTTAATGGGCTATATTCATTGAAACTAAACTTGTGGTATTATGGAACAAAGAAAACTTCACTTTGCCACACAGACCCAACTTCACGTGTCTACTACCACTATTAAGACAAGGAAGTAGCTGCCAGCAAAGAACCTGCAGCTAGCAAACCCATGGAGCCCAACATGGCCCAGATTCACGGGATGCTGAGTAAGATACTGGAGGAAATTGCAGATTTAAAAGAAATACGACTTTCAATGTGTTTCATGGATATGAAGCTAACCTCCCTTATCTCTTGCATTATGGAGAGATAAGGGAGACTTGGGGAGGTGGGGCTGAGCACAAACCCTGGGAAGGGGTGCGCTTGATTAACAAAATAAAAGACAAAACAGGAGCGACATTGGTACACTTGTCATGTGGCACAAAATGGGTGCATGGGTTCAGCAACAGTTCCTGCTCTGTCACCAAAATCCAATTTAGCAGTGCTTTGCTGTGAGAAATATTGTATACTCGTTTAATTACCTGCAACCAATTTTTTAATTGTTAATGTTGAGACAGAAGTTGAGACAATAATCTTCAAACTTCTGTTCAATAATCTGAACTATAGCCTGAACAGTGTTTGCCTTTCTTGTCCAAAAGTTACTTTCTTTTGCTTTCTACACACATCAGCATGTGACCTCATGTCTTAATTGTTCACTGTACACTTACAGTCAAATTGAAAGTACTGGCAGTTTGAGTTAAAACACGATCTGAAGTGGCTCACTGCTGACTTAGTAAAATCACACTATAGTATTTTCACTGTGGGGCAAATTGTCCAAATGAAATCAGCAACTACTGCAACATAATGAGGTTTAATCATTTTGAATGTTTGGGTGGTATTTCTGTCTCAGTACCTAGTTCTTCCTGTGGTCAAATGTGTAAAAGCTTTTAATTATCTTCAACTTTCAAAGCAAAACTCAACAGAGAATATCTTAAATAAAATTCTACAGATTATTAATTTAAATTGGTAGAGTGTAACATTATGCTCTCTCAGGACTCAATTTAAAATTACTTTGAATTGAAATATTAAATAGCATTTATAGAAGAACTTCCAGCAGCACTAATGCAGGATAATTACAGGTTAAACCCTAACGGGAGGATGTCCTCGCTGGTCACTGCTGAACAAGACTTCTGTTTTAAAGACTACAAATTGTGGTTAAGTGTAATTCAGGGTGGTGTGAGGGGGTTATTTGGATTCATCCTGTCAACCGAAGAGGAGGCTACTTATCGATTCCTTCAACGTGGGCGAGGGGAGGCTAGCTAATTAGTGTTGTTATCGTGGGCGCTAATGGAAAAGGGAGTGTGGCCTCAGGGTGCAGAAACACACCCAGCACTTAGGGAAGCTGTTAATACAACTGGAACATCAATCAGCAAACACACACCACATACACAACACAGACATGATTTCACACAGGGAGAATTAAATGAAGTTCTTAACACATAAGCATGAATTAAGTGCAATAAAAGAACACACACACACACACACACACACACACTTGCATGTCAATATTTGGAAAACCCCACCTACACATGTGAATACAGTAAAGGCTTAGAAATGTTCATACACCCACACGTCACAGTGAGCCAAGCAGAGCTGTTAAAACACAGTCTCACAAACACACACACACACACACACACACACACACACACACACAGAAAATGTCAGTAAAGCTGCTAAAACAGTGTTAAAGTAAGCATATGTTCTCTTTAACTCACTCACACACACACACACACACACACACACACACACAGAGTTAATTTAACTCTACTACAACAGCTTGTTGTATCACACAGATACAAACACACTGTTACAACCTGTCCAAATAATGTGCTTTACGACACCCAGACACCTCACTATTCAGTTCAGTTACGATTCAGAGGGAAACAATTTGATGATATAATGATTATTAAATGTTTATCATATTAATTTAATTATAAATGATATATTTTGGTGGTTTGAGCTGAAGGTGTGAGAAAGAATAGTATCAGTAACATTGTTAACACTGTGCTACATTACAGAGAAATACAAAACCGTACTAATGAACCTTCATTAATATAGGCCTATATTTTATCTACAAGTGCACGTCACACACTGAGCCAGCCGCCTGTTAATGACGCTGTGGGCTAATGGGCATGTAGCTACTTCCATGTTTCAGATGATACGTCATGTTTGTAGTCGACCAATGAAGATGAGTTTACATATCACCTTGGGTTCGTCCTTCACCTTCTCAAAATGATCCCACACTTTGGATTTCCTGCCCGACATGTTATTAACTAGCCTGTGGAATAACTGCAGGTACCAGCCCTGGAAATTAACCTGACTCCTGTCTGACTGCTGAGCGTGGACACTTCCTGTGTCTGTCCTTTCAAATTAAATTCCCACATGCTCCAGTCATATAGGTTTTAATTTATTTTGACGGTTTTGTTTTTTTGTAATCAAGCAACCAATTAAATCTTGCTGACAAATGACCTTTCTGGTCGACCATTAGTTTCACATATTTCTGTGAGACCAGGTTGATCTCACCTAAGATCACATTTTCAGACCTGCTTTCAGTTTCCCATTTTGCATGACTTTATAATTTTACTTTATAGAATGTATCTGACTGTTTGAAGTTATGACTAACTTTGTAGTATAAAGGACATGTAGAATAAGACAAAAATCCTGGAACAGATTTGCTTAAGTGAGGTACATCTTGAACAAACAAGGAAGTGTAGTAATGTGTGATGCTGTAGCTCCAAATTAAAAGTCTAACTTCAAACATAAGCTCATATATGTTGAACATTTTGTGTCATAAGGGATTTACATCACAGAGTGGTAAGACACGTGGTAAAGAACAGAAAGGCGTCATGTGCAGTTCACTGATGCCTGAATGTGTGTGTGCTCACCTCTCTGCAGAGCTGTCAGGCTCTATGAACCGGATAAGTGGGGGTGCAGACAGCGTTTCTGTGGCAAATATTCCTCCCTGCAGCTGGACACCAAAGCCATTGAGAGGGTCACCTGTTAGGACGACCTCACTGGTCTCTACATGAACTACCTGACCACCTGGACCCACCGAGCTTGACGCCAGGGACACTGAACACACACACACAAACCCACAGGAAAGATTTTTTGATTATTCATTTCCCTTCAGTTAAATGATATCACAGCACAGACAGAGAGGCATATGGAGCTTACAGGAGCTTTTGTGCTCTTTCTTTCTCTGCCGTCGTTTGAGCAGCGAGTTACGTGGACTCATGGGAACTGTGGGCCTGGGCAGGGTGCTGGAGCTCTGGCTACTGGGGCCCGATGTAGTCGTTGAGCCGGGAGAGAAACTGGCAGACACCAGAGCTGCAAAAAAGAGAAAGATACGACAGACAGATGGTGTCAGTTGTTCCATTATTGCTACACAGAGACATGACGACACGGATTGAAGAATTAATCAAAAGCAAAAAAAGACTGAAAAATAAAACATGTTACAGATAAATCAGTTCAGTTCCCGAGATATGACGCTAAATAATGGCCAGAAGTGTTTTTGCAGAACATTATGATGTCACAGTTACCTTTGATCTTTTGGATATAAAAGGTCATCACTCCATCATTTTATCCTGTTAAGACATTTGTGAGAAATATTGTCATATTAAGCCTATGAATTTTTATGTTATGGCCCAAAACATGGTTTGTGAGGTCACGGCAACCTTTGACCTTTGACCACATTCTAATAAGTTCATTCTTGAGTTCAAGTTGGCCTCCCTAGTGTAGTGGCTAGAGCACTCGTCTTCCAGGGTTGGAATCCTGCTGGGGTCGACTTCAGCAAAGGCGTGCAGTAGCAAGAGATTACCAACACCGAATCAAACGGGATCAGATTCGTAAAGGAGTAACTCCACAATCTGAGTCCTCAAACAAGGGCGCGTCTCAAGCCCATTGTAGACAGATTCAAAACGTAAAAACGGATTCATTCATTCTTGGGTCCAAGTGGATAACTTCCCTCGAGGCGTTCTTGAGCTATCATACTCATGAGAATGGGACAGATGGACAACCCGAAAGCCATGGCTATCTCTGGCGTGGTGGAATTAAAAGCAATTACGGTTGAAAGATGCTGGGATAAATACAAAGGGAGAGTGTAGAACAACACAAGTCCAACAAGACATTTTTTAAAGTTTTTTTTCACATCAGGAGATGACTATACCTGAAACAGCAAAGGAAATATTAAACCTCATCAGTGTGCTGTAGCACCCTGATGAGGTTTCAGTTCACCATCACGTTAAGCAGTTTCCACAGTGTTCTTCAGCAGCTGTTGTGGATGTGTTTCCACCACCATACAATGTTTTTAATAAACTGCCAGGGTAGATACATTTAAACATTTGGCATAATGTAAGTATGTGTTTTTAGGTGAGGAGCCACATTTGCCACAACTCCTGTTTCACCAAGTAGCATCAAAATGTAAGAACTTATTTGCATATTGTCGATCTATTTCCATTATTATGTTTTCCAGACATCCTGCAGCAAGACTGACAGAAGACAGAGCTGAGTAAAAGTAATGAGTCACAGAATGAACGAATGAACAAATAGATAAATGTCACTGTTTCTGTGTTCTTACACTTGCAGTAGTCGAGGCTGTTGATGGTGTTATTATTTGAGGCGGTCCACGACTTGTTGAGGGTGGCGCTTGTGTTGCAGAGGGTGGAGTTTGAAGGGTGACAGTAGTTCACACAGGGGTCCCAGGAGTGGGGGTGGTCCGACTTCTGAACCTTCACTGGAACACACAAGAAGAAGAATGACTTGAAGACAGTGTATTGACTCACATTAATTCCCTAGATGCCTGCCTGACATTTGACATGTGTGACATGTCTAACGTTATCTTCAACATGTCTAACAGCCATGATTATTACATCTTTAGAGGGGCCCTGTGAAGTTATATTTTTGTTATAAGTCTAATGTGTAGGATTTAGTGGCATCTAGTGATGAGGATGCAACCAACTGAAACTTCTCTCATGTGCAAAGCCCATTGGAAAAGTGCAGTAGCTCATGTGAAAATGTGAAAACATAAAAATTCAAAAATGCAAATGGCCATATTTAGAGTCAGTGTTTGGTTTGTCTATTCTGGGCTACTGTAGAACAACATGGCGGACTCTGCGGAAGAGGACCAGCTCTGTATGTAGATACAAACTGCTCATTTTAATGCAAGGAAAACACAATTATTCTTACTTTCAGGTGATGATAAATGATTCAAAACCAGTAATCAATATGATTTACACTGTCTACCAATATACCTACTTAAATCCTACACACTGAACCTTTGATATTCAGTGTTTCACACAAAAACATTGTGTGAATCCTTGAGGTCTTAAGACCAAAACACACTGGCGACAAACAGCGTGCATCGAAAAATACGCCCCTATTATTTCAAATGTACAGCTCATGGGCAGCGGCTAGCACTCCTGGACGTGGTGCCCTGCAGCACTTTACGCCACTGTCCTATTTCCAGCCTCACCACCCCCTGAATAAATTCATTTTTCCCCCACTCGCTCTCTGCTTGTAAATATCGGCTCTTGTAGCAGCTCTTTTTCTCTGCTCCTATGGCAGCTCAACTCCTCTCCTCACCATCAATGTATAAAGAGAACTCTGTGGCTGTTGCTGTGTCTCTGGCGTGACGAAGAATGTTTGAGAAGAGACGCATTGTTGAGGTCGAGAAATATCCTGAGCTAAATGACTAACAATCCCGTCATTATAAAGACAATGGCCAAAAAGATATTGCTTGGTGAGTCATAGCCCTGCAGAGAAGGAGGAAGTAAAGATCTTTCAGGAAAAGTAGTAATAACTTTGTGTGGTTGTCTGTGTGCTACGGGGTGTCACTTGACATGAGTCACCTGACGTGCCACGCTTTGGTGGCGCTGGTATGTTTTCAGCTTAACAATCACGTTAAATGCATTTCCTTTCCTGCATTGTGTACATCCATGTTTATTAGCTTGCAGTCTTCATCTTTGGCATGTTGCTATGCTTACATATGTGTTACTGCCACCAACTGCTGATCAGTGAAATAGCATGAAACCAGTGGACACTGTGTTAATCATAACATGCTGTAATAAGCAAGCTTTAGAGGAACTGGTTGGCATGTTTACTCAACTTTGAACAAAGCTAGACCAGCTGTTTCCCTGTCTCCAGTCTTTGTGCTAAGCTAAGTTAGCCGACTGCCAGCTGTAGCTTCATATTAACCATACAGACATGAGTGGTGCTGATTTTCTCATCTGACTCTCAGCAAGACAGTGAAAATGCATATTTCCTATAATGTTGAACTTCAAAGAGAGAAACACTGCCATCTGTTGAAAAGTCACTTTCCTTCAGATGTCGGGGAGAACCTCTTCTGGGGGAAACTCCCACTGAGAGCATCAGCATACAATCAAGGCTGAAGTCTGACAACCTACACGGCCTCATGTGTAATTCCTCACCACACACACTTATCTCAACTCTGAAGTTGATCCTAAGCTGTCCTGTGCTGCCACATCCATCCAGCAGAGCCTTTGTTTCCTTTGACATGTAAGTCATCCCATCTAAACCACTCTGTTGGCGTGAGGTCTGAGGAGCAGAAGTGTCGGGCGGCCCCGGGGTGAGATTTGAGAAATGTGGTAACATTTTCCAGTCTAATCCTCCGTGAGTAAAAATAAAGTCATTAGGTCCAGCGAAACACACTGCAGAGACAGATGTGCTGACAGGAAATGGCTGCAGACACAGACAGATGCACACAGGCAGGACACACTCTAATAGACAATATAGATACACACTTATGCTGGGAATATTTTAGAGCGGCATGTCTGTCACTCATTTGCTTCTCAATAGTTTAGCAGTAATACTAGCTCTATGCTGTACTACAACAAAGCTATTAGTCATTCATGCCACACTGGTTGGTTGGCTAACCACCACCACTCTTTATTGGTCACCACCCAGCTCCAGTGGGAAGCAGCTAAAGTTGCTGCTCATTCCGGGATTACCGCTGCTAACACCATCCTGACCCATGGTGGCGTTTCTCTCTGGTCTCCCAGAGGTCGCCCTGGTGAGTAAGCAGCTTATTTTTGAGTAATGAAACATTTTCAGTGAAATGCAGTTTTGGTTGTTGGGGGGGGGTCTGTGTGAGGGTCACAGGGTCTTCATTCAGTGTCCTTGTGGCCTTAGGGCAGGATCTCCTCCTGAGCCTCTTAGTGCTGTCAGGTGTAACCAGTACCTTCTTCCCTAATGCCCTCTATACACTGTGCGATTTCAGCAATCTTATAAGACCATTGCATGACACACTGTGAGACGTGGATCTAATAAACTTTGGTACGACGTCAAGTTTGATGTGTGCAGATTGTACGATGGCCGTTTACTATTGAATCACAGGTTATGACCTACGTCAATATGCAACGTTATCAGCGTGCACCGCATCAGCGTACGTCATCCATCTGCGTCACCATAGGTAGCTTGCTCACCCGGAAGTTGCAGTTCCTCCGCAATTTCCTTCCATGCAGCGTCTTTTTTCTCGCGGTCATGACAGCAGCTGGAGGAAACACCAAATAAACAAGGCTTCTGCTGCCACAGCTCCACCAAACTTTCCTCTTTCTGGGAGTTCCACAGACTTCTTTTAGTTCGTTTTACCTCCATGGCAAGCGATTTTGTTCACACTGTGAGATAGTCATCCTAAATTTCTGACACCATCAGAATTTTATCTCAGGTTGTCTTTGGTCGCAAGACGTTGACAACGGCCGTCCTTGAACTTGTCTCACAGTGTGACATAAGACCACCGTTTTAGAGCCACGACCAAAGATATCGCCACGTTTCTCCCACAATGGTTATCTTTCGTCTGGGACAGCCCAAAATCTCACAGTGTATACCGGCCATAACTCAACAGAGTGGAAAGGCAGTAATCCAGATGGCTGGGATCTTCAATGATTCTTGTGGCCTTATTTTTGTAGCAGCAGGTGCACACATCCTTTATGCAGGGTAGAGCAGCACCTATAGTGTGCTCAGCTGAAAGAACCACTCTTTGTAAGGCCCTGCAGTCCTGTTCGCTGTTGTCTCCATATCAGGCAGTGATGTTCCCTGTCAGGATGCTCTTGATGATGCAGGAGTAGAAATTCCTCAGAGTTTGAGGGGGTATTTCCTCAGGCATCGAAAGTAAAACAGTCTCTGCCTTGCTTTTCTCACCACCGAGTCAGGATGCAGCATTTAAGTCAGACCCCAACTGATGTAGACACACAGGTACTTGAAGCTATTAGCCTCTCCACTGAGGACCTGTTGATATTAGGGAGAGCGCAGGTCTTTTGTTGCTTCTTCCCAAAGTACTTGTTATCACTGTTACCATTGTCAACGTGGCTAGTGGTGCTAACATAGCTAAGAATGCCAAAGGGGTTTTGAGGCTCAAAATTAGGCCACTTACTCTCTGGGGCTACTTGAGGGGCAGCCGGAGATATCATTGAGATCATGTTAATGTTACTTGCGTCAGTGCAGAGCAGCAGCTAGCTAACCAGTGGAAAGCAGAGGAAGGGCAGTGAGCTCAAGGGGTCAATAGAGCACCGGACTAAAAGGTAAGCACCTCTTATATTTCACACTATTTTCCATCCATCCATTTTCAACTTCTTATCCAAAGCTGGCTCATGGGGGCAGCAGGCTGAGCAAAGTATTTCAGACGTCCCGATCCCCAGCAAAGCTTTTCAGCTCCTCCTGGGGGATCCTGAGGTGTTTCCAGGCCAGATGAGATATACAATACCTCCAGCATGTTCTGGGTCTGCCCCGGGGCCTCCTACCAGTTGGACATGCCTGGAATACCTCTAACAGGAGGATCTACTCCGAGCTCCTCACCCTATCTCTAAGGCTGAGCCCAACATTGCTCTTTAAGTCAATACCCAGAATTCATGACCATAGGTGAGGGTTGGGACGTAGATGGACCAGTTAATTTAAAGCTTTGCCTTCTAGATCAGCTCTCTCTTTACCACAACAGTCTGGCACAGCATCGCGTCACTGCAGACGTTACGCCAAACATCTCATGCTCCATTCTACCTTCTTGTGAACAAGACCTCAGGATACTTGAACTCCCTCACTTGGGTCAGTAATTCATTCCCAACCCAGAGGGGGCAATCCACTGTTTTCCAGCAGAGAACTTTTTTCCTTAAACATTTACCTGTAAATTGATGTTAGGCCATCGAAAGCAAAACTAACAGAAGCTGACATCCCTTGTGTGTACATGCACACTTATGTCCAGACTCAGGAACACTAATCTATGCTGCAGTAACACACTGAAACACAATCAAAGTCACACACACAACTGCAAAACCTTTAATCAGACTGTCTATTAATAAAACAGCAGCAGGCTGGCTGTAAGGTCTCCTGCAAGGCCATCAATACACTAATGAGCTGTGCTCACTTCACAGACACACACACGTACAAATACACACTTACCGCATATACACACAGGCGGTCACAATCGTGATTAGAAGGAAAAGAATGAATTTTTCTTCACAGAGACAAATGAAGGAGATGCAAGATGAGATGGTGACCTTTGGAGTGTGTGTGTTTGTGTGTGTGTGTGGTCGGTTGACGTGTAGCCTCAAGTACTTTCTTGTTTTCTGTCTCTTTAACATACTGTAAATTAGAATAAAGCAAAACAAAAGAGTAGGAGAGAACTAAGGAGCTGTGCGGAGTTGAAAGGAATGACAAAGAGGAGGCAGAAAGAAAGACAAGAAGACGAAAACAACAGAGGGAAAAACAGGAAGCAGATGAAACAAA